CTACGTTTCTACTCTTTGCCTCTGACATCAAGCGATTCACTGCTTCGTCGTCGAGCGCCACATCTCTTCTCTTCTCTTCTCTTCTCGCCTGAGAGCTTCAACCACATCTTTATCACGAGCGTCAGCGTCGAGATCCTTCACCGCTCTTCAGCCACGAATACGAAGCTGCATCTCCGCCTTCAAGCCTCCGCACATCATCGCGTGAGCCCCTTCCTTCGTTCTTCTCAACTCTCTTCATCTTCATTGGACTTTCGACGCCATTTCTATTCTGTCGTAAGCTTTCATTCATTATGTACATCGCATTTATTCATGTTCATTCTCACCCTTAATCATTATGTAATCTTCGTGCAATATTCACATTTTCAAGTCTGCTACTTTTGCTTGACTGCACTTTGCAAGTGCATTGTCAGCTTTGTTCAGTACCCAATAAATTAACGAAAAGGGAACATTTTCTTTCTTGTATTTTATTGTCAGTGCAACCTTGTTTCCTCGTAGCTAAAATAAAAATAAGAGTTATGTTGTGTGACGAGTGAACACGCTCTCAAATATCCATTCACAATACCTCACACTCATATCTCTAAAGTTATAAGAGTTCTACCGAGGTTTCTTTGTCGATTCAATTGATTATATAGTCTCAATTAGAATTCAGAATTATCTCACTGAAAAGTTAAGAAACCGACGATGTTCTCGATCTTAAGTTATTTTCATTTTGCCAGCAGCCGATCTAGCGTTGTTTGGGCAAAAAGCTAGGCCGCTGCCTTCCCACGCGAACCCTTCCGAGTCCCGCTAAAATGGCGCTCTGCGGAGCTCCGAAGCTGCGTTGGTATCGCTGCAAACTCTCAGCCGGCTAGCTCCCCACGAAGCACCATTCGCGGTATGGCGAGAGTGTGTGTGTGAAGTATGATTTTGGATTCGAGAACGCACGTAATGCAACCGTGCGCGTCATTTTCAGCTGTCGAATGTATACGACCAATTTTACATGTACGATTTTTAGTACAGATACTTGCCTTGGTCAGTTTTCTTCTTATATCTTTGGTTTTACAACATTTAAAAATATAATTTCTTCAAATTTGCTCCTGACTCGGTTCAGACTAATTGTCTGATGTGTTTTCAAGTCAATTTTTTTAATATATTTTTTTGCATGAATTTGCCTAACTAGTGTTAGGGTGTCTGATCACGCACCCGATGTTGTGTGCTAAAATTCTTCCCATAGAGATTACACGCATCCCTATGCAGCCTACGTGCATTGCGCGACCATGCAAAAAAAATTGTTTTTTTCAATTCGAGATTCAAACCTTTATCTGTTGTGATCCTGAAGGTGATACTCAATAAATGAGGTGTCATATGAAAGAGCAGGTGAATTCCAATATTTCCAAAGGGGCGTAGCCCCCGGAATTTCTAAAAATATCTTATTCAAAACAGCAATTTAAACATTGTGTCCTGGCTAACTCTGAGGTTTGTCACTTTTGAGATATGACGCCCCGATCGATAAGTAGTCCCAGTCCTAAGGAACAATTCTATGTGCTTATATTTTCGCTAGCCCCCAGGGATCACAACTGATAACAGTTTAAAAATACCCTTCTCGCTATTTGGTGGATCAGCTAATTAGAAGGGCGTGCGCTCCGCTCAGTCCAAACCATGGTTACATCGCGTAACTTCTCCGCGTACGAATGAAACCGAAAGCATAGTGAATGAAAGTATGGCTAGCCGTTCACGCAATAAAACCCGGAAGTGAATACACGTTATAGTCAATGGCAATATCGCGGAGACAACGTGGCTCAAGCTGCAAGTCACGCATTCAGTTTAGCAACATGGGTACGATATACATACGATTGCATATCGCGCAATACAGCTGTTTGGCTCAATTTAGCAAAACAACATAACTCTGCGTGTACGTCTGTTTCGTCAATTCTGACCAAAATGATATGAATATTGCAGCGTTTGGGAGGGGCTGTATCTTTTGATAGAAACATCGTTGAGACTTGAAATTTGAAATGTATTATTCTGATTACATTTTTTATTCAAATATCAAACAAAAATGGTGAAAAACGATCCCAAATTGGAAATTGAAAAATCGTTCTGACACCCTACCAATATGGATGACAACGAATCTTGTCTACTACAGGTTTTTTCCAGACTAATCATTAATTTAGGATCTAAATGAGCAGGCTATCCTAAGTCAAATAAGCTCTATATATGTTATTTTTGATTTTTTAATAATATCGGCCATGTTATTGTAATTTTGCATCATTCATGAGGATGTAAAGAGTGAAAATCTTGTTGCATATCTCATTCATCGCGGTCCGGCCAAACCGAACCATTTGTTCCGTACAGTCCCCATAGGACGAAGTTCAGTCTCTATAATCGGAGGTCTAGTGGAGCCAGACGTAGTCTCAGTGGAACAACCGACGATATAGAGAGACTGAAGCTTTTGGTCTAAGAGAGTCAATGATAATGCGTATTGACCTCTAGCACTGCATACTTGCTGTTAGGCAGGTATTATTAAACCTATACTGGCTATACACAAATATACACACCACACAATATTGCATAGACTGCACACAATGATGCCGATGCGGCTGCAAGCAAAGTTTGACAGTACTAGTAGACTTACAATTTGAATTGTTAAATTATTCTTTTTAACATCAGTAAGTTGAAACAAATTTATTTTACTGCTATTTAGGTGTCATCGATTGTCACTAAAGTACTGATTTTGAGTAAAATCAGTTGAGTTTTGTACAGTGGTGTTTGAAATGTTGAGAATCAAAAGCACAGCTTTTACTACACAGCCAGGATAGTGATGTTCCTATGTGTGCTTGCATCATCAGGCCACACATATGACATGGCAGCGCAGAATTAATACTATCATGGCTGTGTATAAGCCGGTCAACACTGTACTGCAGTATATTCATGCAATATTTTGTAAAACCTGCTGCATCACAATAAACTTTCAAATGATATGATGATAAACAATTAATGAATCAATCATTTGTTCAATCAAATCAATATTGATCTAGATCTAGAAAGTCTAGATCTAGACTTTCTAGATCTATTATTACGAATGGAAATTACAATACGAGTTTCATTGGTGAAAATTCCTTGATTTTACAGATATTTGAGCCTACTTTTACTGATTGGGCCTAGATTTAGCCATGTTCCGCCATTTTCTAATTTTATGATGATTTTTCAAAATGAAGGGAGACGTCAATGCACGTAGATCTAGAACTAAGTTTAGCTTACATTTAGTGCTTTAAGCTACAGTCCCATATACGTCCCGGACCATCCCGGACCCCATCCGGGGTGATCCGGGATTCGGTCCGTGTTGACACCGTGTTGGCACCGGGGTGGTCCTGGATGGTCCTGGATGGTCCTGGATGGTCCTGGATGGTCCTGGGCGGTCCGGGAGTCGACCCCGGATGTTTTTGACGGTCAAAAACTGCCGGGGTGGTCCGGGACGGTCCGGGACAATAGTTTGATCCGGGGTGATCCGTGTAGCCACCGTGCTGGGTCCGGGGTCATCCGTAGTGGCGCCGGGGCGGTCCGTGTTGATCCGTGGCAGTCCGGGAGTGAGTTATTGACCGCCCAGGACCATCCAGGACCATCCAGGACCATCCAGGACCACCCCGGTGCCAACATGGTGTCAACACGGACCGAATCCCGGATCACCCCGGATGGGGTCCGGGATGGTCCGGGACGGTCCGGGACATATATGGGACTGTAGCTTAAAAGCATCACACTTTTTTTGAACAAAACATCCCGGACCATCCCGGATCACCCCAGACCATGGTCCGGGATGGTCCGGAGTGGTCCGTGCTCGTCCGTGCTGGTCCGGCTTTATATGGGACTGGGGCTTAAGCAAATCGTTCGTCCGATCTTGGCAAATCGCAGTCTCATTTTACTAAATTGGCGCCGACAAGGGCCCTTCTTATTGGCTATCGCTGTTTTCCATTCACTCAATGCTATAAGATATTTGTGCAACGAGCAAGCTCGCAATTTTTTTTTTTTTTTTTTTTTTTTATACCGAAATTATGATATTTCAGTCAAAACCTCTATTTGTTATGATTTTTTCACTAGTCTTCCATAACTATTTTTAAAGTTTGAACAATTCTCATGTACAAACTGGGAATTTATTCTGAGATTTTCGTTGATTTTTCTATTGTATGTGTGTGCTATGCCGTGTGTCCGTCAGTTATGTGTGAAGTGCGTCACCTGTTTAAAGCAGAACATGTCAAAATCTCTGTGGTGTGACGTAATATTACGTATTGGCTTTGCCATTGAACTTAAGTTAAGTAGGCCCTCTCTCACTTAAATTTGAAGCCACTCAAGCGGATCGGCCAATGAGAGCGCATAAACTCATTGAACTGCGCTCAATGCGCTAAGTTCGGCGCTTGTTGAGAAACCTATCCAAAATTTGACCCGTAACTCCCAAAATGAAGTAAATATTCATTAAATGACCAAATAAAGATCATGAGATAAAAGTAGTTATGTTTATTACCTGTTTCGTGTCAAATTTCTTGTTATTTTTGGAGTATTTTTCAGATAAACGTTGATATTAGTATACACTTTTTCGCAGGTTTCACGGCAAATCGCTGCACAATACATGTACATACCGACGGTGGGTTGCGGGCGGGCGGGTGCATGTGTGAAGTTATCTACCGTATGTCCTCATTACGGTAGAAAACTTAATGCAATATCAGCCATTTTTGTGTACACTGCATTCATTTAGATGTAGTCATCTGTTCAGAGTCAGAGGGGCATTAACTCTGTCTTAAAGTATAAACAGACAAATTATAAAATATTTTTGGATTTTAAAAATAATTTTCCCATTTTCTTTCTTCTTTTTTCTGTGTAGGTCTTCAACATTTTCTGACAATTAATAACAGCCAAAGAAGTATACAAGAACTTGATTTCAAATGGTTTGAAAGGAAAATTACCCAGTGAATATTTCTGTGCGAGAGATTCCCAGTAAACGTGTTGATTCTGTGAGGTTCAGCACATACAGCAGTCAGGATCTAAAGCAGCTGAGTGTGAAGGAGTTAACTAACCCCAGGTCGTTTGATGACCTTGGACACCCGACCTTAGGAGGGCTCTATGATCCTGCACTAGGTAGGTCTATGGACTAGACTTGTATTCTCAATAAGGCCTAACAAATTGCCAAAATATGGGTCGGTCTGTCAGAAATTTTTTTTTTCTTTAAACTTTGTTTACTCCCTCTTTTGGCTGATATTTCTCAGTTTTGAATGCTTTAATACATTTTTTTCTTCTAGAAAACGGTTAAAAAAAACTTTTTAAAATGCTGACCGTAGATTTCAAGATTTGGGGTCAGTCGCAAAGGGCAATACAACATCTTTTTGTTAAAGGCTTAACACAATACCTGAATTACCTATGGTGATGCCCAGTAAGTCTAACGACTTGTAAAGGGCCATTCAACAGGTCTGTTCCTGATCATATAATTTATTAAGCTCATCAAATAAATCCGCACACAAGGTCAAAATTTATTTCAAACAATTAGGGTCAAACTTAATACACTTCTGTTTCCAATGGTCATTGATTTTGGACTTCGATACATTGACATTGTCAGCAGAAAGGTAATTCCAAGATGAACTGCATTCAGGTCAATTGGGACTGATTTGGAGTTGGTCCACTTAGGGATAGTTCTAAGCAGCTGGCTTTACCCTCTCCATTGTGTCATATACCTCAGATTGCTGTCAGTATTTTATAAACATTTATATTGTCATAGAAATAATTCCTCATATTACTTCTAAATTTCTAATGCGGGGGATGAAATGAAGAACTTCAATGTAGGAGCTTCAGACGAGTATTCACAAAGTATTTATATTTTTAGTTTGTACGCAGGGATTGTGGAAAGAGAGACATCTTCTTTTCCTTGGTGAAACTCTAACCTAGTGTTTATTTTGTTTGTTTTGACTGAATAGAAGTAGTGTTGCATGCTACTTTGTGTATTTATAATATTTTTAAATATACCATTAGAGTGGCCTGTTTTCAGCCAGAATCAATGAATCAGATGAATATTTCCAAGGATATTCTTTTTTTAAAGAGCTACATACAGTTTATCATCATGTAATATTATTTTTACAAGGTTTTTTACCAATTTTGGTGCAGTTTGCCTATTCTCTGTAAATCTGTTAATCTCATTGTAGGTCCAAGTGACAGAGATGAGCTTTGTGGAACATGCAGCTTGGGTCAATTTCACTGTCCAGGTCACATGGGTCATGTGACCTTGCCACTTCCTGTCTTCAATCCACTTTTCTTCCCGCTTGTCCGCCAGGTAGGCTTACTTTTTAACCTATTAAATACCATTATATATTAATAATAATAATAGGCATTTATATAGCGCCGTCTATCTAGACAATGCTATTCCGAGGCGCACAAGAATAATAGAAAAAATGAGAAAGTTTGGACAAGAAAGTTTGGACGAGTGTCATAGTGCCAAGTACAGGTATTGTTTAAAAAGATAAGATTTCAGCTTGGATTTAAAGGTCTCTAAGGAAGTTATGATCCTCAAATTTAATGGTAAATTATTCCAAAGTCAAGGTGCTGCAGATGAAAAAGCCCTTTCACCACAGGCTACTCGTGTCTTTGGGATCTTAAAAAGATGCTGGTGTGATGATCTTAGACTACGAGCTGGTGTATAAGGCATATCACAGATTTGTCATACTTTCACAAACATTCACCATGTTAAATAAACTGCAATGTCTTTAGGATCCTACCAGGTATCCATTTAATACCTGGGTGGATAGAAGCAGGCAATTTACATACAATATATATGTTGCTTATTGACATACAGGTGGTACCTTGGGTGAAACCCACAACCTTCACATTTTCAGATAAATGTTGAAAACCAAAAGACTATGACACTATGCAGAAAGTACATAAGAGGCAGTACATGAAGTAGTGAACAGGAAGATTTTTAAAAAATGTTTGGAAGAGATAGTCTCTGAGCGAACACTTAATCTCCTTCTAAACTCGATATTACCAAATCCAGTCGTAGAAACTCCATCCATATCTCAAATTACTATTATGAATAGGAGAGTTCCTTCATTCAATTGACTGTAATTACTGACTTTTACAATGACACTTTCTCCCTTTCTCTCTCCCTTTCTCCCTCTCTCTCTGTCTCTCCCTTTCTCCGTCTCTTTCTCTCTCTCTCTCTCTCTCTCCCCCCTCTCTCTGTCTCTCTGTCTATCTCCTTCTCTCTTTCTCTTCCTCTCTCCCTCTCTCTCTCTCTCTCTGTCTATCTCCCTTTTTCTCTCTCTCTCTTTCTTTCTCCCTCTCTCTTTCTATATATCTCTCTCTCTCTCTCTCTCTCTCTAGCTCCTACATGGTAGCTGTTTAGAGTGTAACCACCTCCTAGCCCCCAGATGGACCCTGCGTCTGGTGGTACAGCAGCTGCGATGCTTGGATCATGGTCTACTTGGTAGCGTAGGAGACCTTGCTGAGCTTGCTAGTACGGTCATATCAGAGTCAGATGATGGGGAAGGTCTGGCGGATCAGATGGAGACCACTCTCAAGGAATATGTGGATGAAATATTGTCTAGTAAGTTACTCTCAAATGCTAGCCTGGATGATTAGTGTACAGGAGTATGAATCTATGAAATATGTTCTATATATGGGCCCTGTTGCACAAAACTTACAATTGATGGTAACTTTGCTGTCAATAGTAATTACCATGGAAACCTTGATTTTGATTGGCTGTTGAGCCTTGTTGCCATGGTAGTTGTCATCAACGGTAAGTTTTATGCAACAGGCCATGATCTTTTATTATATCCCCTGAATGAAAATTGATCTAAACACTGGCTACTGTTTCTCACTAGTATTGCTGAACATCGGCCCAATAAATAAATTGTCTTTGAGTATAGGGACAGTGAATAGGCTATTCACGTTGTCAAAGTATCCTGTTTATTGTGCATGGAATTACCTTAAACAGTGATATGATAACGATGATAGATTCATAAAGCACAATCATATTTTAAAATACATATATGATCCTTAACAATATTGAGTTTCATTTAGGTGCCTCCCGTTCAGTTGGTTTTCAACTTCTAAAGAAGCAAGGCCAGGGTCTCAGAGAAAATTGCTCTCTTAATTTAAGAATGACCCAAACATTCATACAAATTATTCAACTAAGACATACAGACATACAGGATAGCCCTATTTTTACATCCATTATTCTTCACATTTTAAATCTAAAAAATAAATGTACCAATTCTTGTTGTTTGTAATTAATAATTTTCATGTATCAGGCATAAATGTTCCTTTCTATTGCTCCCTATTTCTATTTCCTTCTTTTCTGAGAGCATAGGGACTTTCTTTGTGTTAGTGATATGCACGCTGCTATACAAATAACGTTCATTATTATTATTATTCTAAAATGATCCTTTGCATTCCTACCCCTCAGAGCATGTGAAAGAGCAGCCTTCCGAGGCACGTCATATTGAGGAGTGTAGGCGTCATGTGATCCAATCCTTTATACGTCAGCACGTAGCATCAAGAGGTAGGAAGTGTCCTCTATGTAAGAAGCCTGTACGTGAGATCCGTCCTCATCATAACAGTGTGATCCTCACCAAGGTGATCAGTGCGTCCGGTCAGGGCCTGCAGATGGTCTATCTTTCTCCACATGAGGCTAGGAAACATCTCAGGAACCTGATGGCAAATGATGGTAAGTATACTGTCAAATCTTTTCTTATCGTTGTGTCATCCAACCTGTCAATCAATGATTATAGAAGTTCTATGCTCATGTGTCGAGGTCAAGTGTTCTAAAGACTGTAGATGCGAAGGTTGCGGATTTGAATCCCAACACGGCACTAATATCCTTTTTCAAGATATTTACCTGCACTTGCTACTCTTCACTCGGATGCGACCATCATTGGTGGTCTAACAGATTTTGAGCGTCAAACTAACGCCTGGCTGGAATGCTCCCCAGGGAGTGGAGATTGTGCACACAGTGTATTGCAAGTATTGAATCAAATGACCGGGGTAATAGTATATCTGTAAAGTGCTTAGAGACATAGATGTATTAAGCGCTATATAAAAGCGTAATTATTATTATGCATCTTGTATCACTCTCTGTCAAACATATTATTCCCTATAACCCATTCATGTATTTGGTGCATACACAAAACCATTTGCTTGCTCTTTCTGTTTAATAGCCCTGGGTGAAATGAAGAAAATTTCAGATAAATCTGGCAGTGGAAGTGCAGGATGACAGGCCTGAATTTGACACTGTGTCACTATTTTTTTGTTTTACAGTTTTGTAATGTTTTTTGTTTCAATTTTATTGTAGATCATTTAAGTAGGTAATTGAATTAGTTTTATTATACAACGCCTACTAAGATTCTTGCAACCTCATTGGTCAATTCTTGATCACATGACATGCACTAAAAGTACCATTGAACAGCATCATTCTCTAGCCGTGCAATCCCGTTTGATCCTTTCGCACCATTGCACTCTGACGTCACTAACGATGTACAAAGTATATGGTGAGCTAAGTGACGTCAGAGTGCAATGGTGCGAAAGGATAAAAAAAAATTGCACTCCGCGTCACATTAAACATAAAGGTTGGTACGCGCGTGGTTTGCTGCCTGCTTAATGGTGCGCGTTCACTATCAGCAATTTCATCAATTGAAAAATGAAACAAAAAATCGCAGAGATTTAGGCCTAGGAAAACTGTTTTAAGCCGTTAACGTCCGAGGTGTTGTATTAAACAAATAGTGAATGGTCTTCATTCGTGCAATGAAACAATATTTTGCATTCGGTGAAAGATGAGACGCTCCATTCATCTCGGCTGCGCCTCGTTGAATATAGCGTCTCTTATCTTTCACCTCGTGCAAAATATTGTACCATTGCACTCATGGCCATTCACTATTTGTATATCAGTGTTGCTGCCTTGTAGCAACAGAAAATGATTATGATTGTTTTACAAACTAGGTACCTTGTAGGGGAGTGATATTTGTCCTTTTGTTAGATGTGTTTTGTTAGATGCATAACACAATATAGTCTGTACACATTCAGAGCTTGACTATGGGCATTTAAACGACGGGACGATGAGCCACTTTATCATATTGTATGCACTCTTTCTTCATATTTGTACTCTTTTAGTTACGAATGAAACAAAATGTCCTTGTGTTTTCCTAACAGGTGTAGGTCTACGTCATATATTTGGAGTGCTTGATCTACCCAGTAAGCGGGGTGAAGACTCAACCATAGATCAATTCTTCTTAGAAGCGCTACCAGTCATCCCTTCCAAATTCAGACCAGTAAGATTTTTATCTTCTTTGTTCATAACAGACCATTTTAATTGTGTGTTTGAATCAGTGGATGCTGTTGCTTTCCTAACCCAGGAACTAAGTTACTTTATTTTAATCTGGTGATCCAAATTTTGGATTTCTCTGAACAGGTACATGTTACATGGAGATCAGTGGTTAGTGACAAGTGTTGTCATATACATTCATCATCTATGACACTAGTGTGAAATTTAAAAGCTCTTTGCATACATGTAACCATTGTTAGCTTTATTGCTTAATGACAATAACTAACAACACAATCTATCAAAGATTTAACTGTATCCTACATTATTACAAAAATATTATTTTATTGTAGGGAAATAAATTTCTGAAATGAAAGAATTCTAGGAAAGGATCAGACTGAGCATGAGAAATTATCTGCCTTATACACCTGTCTACTGAAAAGATTGAGTTTTATTGCATTCCTAGAGTTAACTCTCAATTTCCAGAAGAATGGGAGCAAGTAAGTTCCTTTTGGACCTCCTTCCAATCTATGAGGGTTTGAGAGGAGGGTGAATCGTAATGTAGGTGGTATGTTTCAATACAATTCCATTCAATTTTATTGTATTTGTCCACGTTAAAAATGTTAGATGGGATATTTTACAACCAATACAAATACATATATAAACAACAAAAACAGTAATAATCGGAATACATACCGGTAAGTGATAAATATAATTTGATGTTGACATCTTAGGCATTAATAAGTAAGTGACCATAAATATCTTTTGTTTCTAGATATCCACAGCAGGAGAAAAGACCTTTGAGAATCCACAGACTGGTAACCTATCTAAGGTACTAAAAGATTGCCATGTATTGCATCTCCTATTACGAGTTATGAGGCAATCTACCAGTCAACAAGGGTCCCAAGATGTAGAGAATGGTGTCATGGAGATTGATGTTAAACTGACAGTTAAAGATAAGGAGAATGTTGATCAGGTAATTCTTTCTTCAACTTATCTTATTATTTTATCAATGATATTGGCATTCCGCATCTCCTTTCAATGATAATATGCCATATTTTAGGATGGAACTTGATTTCATAAATATTTCCAGTTACAACTTGGGGTAATTTTCAATAACTATATTACACCAAGAAGTAAACAAGGAGCAAGTTTTCTTGATATACTAATATAGAATGTTTTTGTTTTTAGTTTATTCTTGTATCAGTAATATTGTGATTAAAAGAGTCCAAAATGGTGGGTGTGTTTTTCCTTTAGCATTCATTAAGGACAAATCGTGTGTTTATTAGAGCATAATGGAAAGGCTTTACAAGAGAAGCATCAAAATGCTCTTACATCCTCCAAACACTTGTCATCTGTGTCCTTGACCTTGACTGTGTTCATAGTATTTGTCATTGAGCGATCTTGTACTGTATCAGTATCCTGTTTTGTTTTCTTTATTAGAGCATATTAAGTACCATCCCGGGAAAGACCTTACCAGAGAAGCTTCAGAATGCTCTAACCCAGCTACAAACTCATGTTAACTGTGTCATTGACAGTGACCTTGACAAGATATCTACTGACAAAGCACCAGGCATCAAACAGGTTAGTTTAAAGCTTTGAGCTAAATTTAATGACTTATGTCGTGTATGGTATAGATACTCTTGTTAATGTATGATCAACTGAATTCATAGATTCGTTGTTGTTTGATTACAGAGCTAGAATATTTCACATCCAAAAAAAATTAAAGATGAATAATTACTTAATATATTATAAATTGGTAAGTACACAATCAAATCCTTTGCACTTATTGCAAATCTTTAGTTTAAGCAATGACGGGGAAAAAAATTCTCACAGAATCAAACAAAACTTACACTGAAAACTGTAAACAAGTGTTATTTGATAAACAATTTGGAAGGAATTCTGTAATCGCTGAGTAATTGGCTACCAAACATGATGAAATTTAGCTCTTTGTGTTTTTCCAATTTTTGCTCCATCTGTCGTTATGATCAGCTTCTTGAGAGGAAAGAGGGTCTGTTCCGCAAGCACATGATGGGCAAACGTGTGAACTACGCGGCTCGTTCAGTCATCTCTCCCGATCCGTACATCAACACCGATGAGATAGGTATCCCACAAGTCATTGCCAAGCGTCTCACATACCCCCAACCTGTGACTGATTGGAATGCACAGGAGCTGAGACAGATGGTCATGAATGGACCTGATGTACATCCAGGGTAAGCATAGTTGATCATGTTCTGTCAAACCTGTATCGAAAGACCACCATAGGGAGGCTCAAAAAGTGACCTTTATTGGCAGATGGTTGTATATTCATATATTATACAAATAATTCATGTTTGCAAGTGCATTAATGAATATGCACCGCAGCAGGTTAAGCCACAATAGGATAGTGAATGAGACTTGTGGAGTTCATTGTACGTCTCATTGTGACCTAAAGAAAGAAGAGAGAAAAACAAGATTTAACAATACTTCCGTCATGAATTAACATTCAAGAGTCAAGATTTGAAGTTTAATAAACTGTTTCATTGTTATATTAGTCTCCTAATCTTCAATATGATTGTTTGTATTAAACCACTTGACAATAAAAGTCAAATCAAAATGATAATCACTGACTAAATTGTCTTGATTTTGATCAAGTGCTCGTCACACTGTATTTAAAGACAGTGAATTGCTAGATTGTCATGACGTACTAGGCAGTCTTTTAAACTCTTGGTGCCATTAATGATATATTGCCTTGGTTGTCTTGAGGAATGTTAACTGATTCATATAATGTTCTTTCATGTTTGTTTCAGTGCTTTACTGATAGAGAACGAGGATGGTTCTCAGGTCAGACTACGAGCGGACAACCAATCACAGAGAGAATCCGTTGCTAAGAGATTGCTTACACCTAGCAACATTAATAAACAGAACACTGGATCAAAGAAGGTATATTAGAATTATGAAGTATGTCGCAATGTCAGGGGCAAGAATATTATTATTTCATCAAAAAGTAAATCAAGAACTCTTGTGAAGAATAACTGAGAAAATAAAAGTTTATGAAATCTTCTGTACAGAGCAAATCAGGAAGGGGCTCGCATGATATGTTGTTGCAGTGTTCCCAAATTGTGTTTCACTAATGACAACTTCAAAAGTGTCCTATTTTTAATGAGATATTGCTCAAACTTTTGCTAATTTCTTTCTCTCATTTTTAATTTTTTTAATAAAATCCATCAATAATATCAAGGTGGACGTCCTCTTTTAATGTGATTCCAGCTCGAAAATACCTGTAGATTTATAGAGAGCTATCGAAGAGATTTTACAATTTGGACGAATCCCTACCCCATTTCTGTAGTCATGCTGGTCAGTTCTTTTCTCACAATACTTTCTTGTTTCTCACTAAAGGTTCATAGACATCTACAGACTGGTGATATAGTCTTGCTGAATCGTCAACCAACGCTTCATAAACCAGGCATCATGGCCCATAAGGTAATAATTCAAATTTTTATCTTGGCACAATAATTCAAATTCAAATAATTCATTAAAATCAAAGGGCTATGGAATGAGCTTGCCAGACGATTGCATGAACATTCCTCCCTCTTTATGAATGTCTGTTCCACCCAAGGTCAGAGGATTCTATTCTGTAGTTGGAAACTGAATCTCTCTAGATTGATACTAGCTAGGAAGCTGAACTATACTTCCAGTAACTGATTTAAAGTTTGCTATTAATTTCTACAATACATGATGAATCATAGTCTTGATGGAACTACTAGCTAGGAAGGTTCATAGTAAGGGGAGCCTTCCAAAGTTGCGACTGTGCCCGGACGCGTAGGGGCGTGATGAATAGAACAGTCGCGTCTCAAGAGACGCATTGAGGCGCAAAGGGGCGAGAAGGGGCGCAATAGTCACCCTCATCTGATTCTTGCATATGAAAAGAAACTGTCTATTGTTGGTATAAACCCGCTCTATTCTTCTTGCGCCCTTTTGCGCCCTACCAGGCGATGGAAGATTATCTTTCGCGTCATTGTTCTCGCTCGGGATGCGCGGTACAGCTTAAACTTGATATATAGCAAGTATTTGTCGGCCAAAGCCTGTCTTCCCCTCCTCCGGTTCTCGTTCTGATAAACATTCCATTGTTTGTAAAAACTTGATGTATTCTTCTCGCGTCGCGATCTATTCTTCTCGCGCCGTTTTGCGTCGTAACGGGCGGGGTATTATCTTTCCAATCATTGTGGAAGCTTTGCGATGTACATTGCTACAGCACAGCATGAACTTGTCTGGTGGGAGCGTCTTTGTTTCGGGGGGCAATCAACACACATTTTATTTTTGTTGGGTTTAATACGCCTCCTTTTAATTTTTTGACGACTGTATGAAATGTGAAATAAAGATGACTATGTACCATTAATGGCTGTTTAATTGCGAGCTTGATTGTCCCCAACAACAAAAAAATAAAAGGCGAATGATGTGAATGAATACATGTATGCGGTTATAGTCGGCAAATTGATTACTGTTTAGGACGCTTGTTATGTTTGTAATTTGAATGATTATCAACATATTTGTATAATTCCCACATCGCGATATTATTCTAGCGTCCTAATAATGGACAAAGGAATTATCTTTCTCTCCCGTCATTCATATTCACGCTACGCGTTGCCACAGCCTGAGCTTGGAAGAATATATATTTTGTCAGTCAAATCCTCTTTTTTTCTTCTTCTCCTCCCTTGACTTGGTTCTAATAAACTGAAGGTTTGCTTATTAGGGATAAGGAGGATAACATCAAACAAAAGATCTACTCAAGATGACGCTCTTTTCATTTCACCTCGCTGTTTGATAAAGTAGAGTTCTGTATGGAACGAATACAAAAGAAAAGTTCGCTCTAAAGGAAAAAAACATAAAATGCTGTGGCAGGATATCACGCCAGAGATTTGCCTTCGAAAATTGCCCGTCCATAATGCGTTTTAAATCATAATAATTCCGTAGCTCTTTTTAAAAGTGGAATGAATAGAAAAAAAGAGTCTAGGAACTATATCGAGATTATAAAACATGTGTGTCATGAAGATGTAAACAAAAAGCGTAGCTTGATGGCGATAAAGTTGAGCAGCAAATGGAAATGCCATACAAAACATTAAGCAGTTCATGGTGATAATTTATCATTCGACTTCTACTTTGCGCTATATGTACTAAATGATCGCAAAACGGGCAGGGACACAAATACAAACATCGATTTCTGCTCTAACATTCGAATCATTTATTCGTAGATTTGTATAATTAAGTGGCGAAAGTGAAATTTTGAAATCATACTGCACAGATACAAAAACATACCAAACATGTTTTGATTCTTAATCAAAAAAAAAAAAAAAACGCAAATTTTAAAAGATCTTTTTAAAAGGAGGGAGGCGCTTTAGCCCAGTGGTAGAGCAGAGCAGCTCGTAACCGGGAGCTCCCTGGTTAGAAACCAAGTCGATATGCTAGTGCCCTTTGGTAAGGCAAAACTCAACATTACATTTCGTTCGGAGAGGTCTTAAAGCAGCCGGTCCCCTGTTTGCCTAATTCAGAGCATATGCTTCATGTAGCAGTCAGGTAAAAAAAAAAAAAGCAAACGGTACAGGAAGCTACTTTTTATGGATAGGCCTAAATTGAGGTTTGACTTAACTAGGGAGAAGAAGGATAACATCAAACAAAGATCTACTCATGATGACGCTCTTTTCATTTCACCTAGCTTTAAGATAAAGTAGAGTTCTATGGAACGAATACAAAAGAAAAGTTCGAATGCTGTGGCAGGATTTCACGCGGCCGAGCAAGGCTATTGTTTGATCGCTATAATTGTCCGACTTGCTATAGATTCTTGTACACTATTAAGGCTGCGTATTGTGTGTGTGTGTGTGTGTGTGTGTGTAAGGGAGGGGGCGGCGAAGTGAACGGCCGGACGTAAATGGCAGAGGCCCATCAGGAGGGCTCCGCTCGCTAGTTATAAGGACCGCTATTCATTGGACAACTATTCATGAAGACCGCTATTTGTAATTTTAGAACATGGTCATTATGCATAAGGGTCATGAATTCGTAATACGATATCCCCCTCCCCAAAACTAAATAAATAAATAGAAAAAAAATGATGCAATAACAAATAATGCCCGGTAATTGGTGATAGCCGCCTATGAGCGGAACAATGGGCGCACCAACTATTAGCTGCTCAAAGAGCTGTCTTTTGTCATTGCGTTGCAATAACAATGTCCTTGTAAAAGTTACATGTACTATAATATCCGTATGCTATATAACACCCAATGTAAACATGACGTGTTCAGGCCTTATAACTAAATACAGTGCACCAATGCAGTGCACGTTAAAACAAAAGACTTTACTAGCGCTAGCTAACAAATATGAAACGTCAAAACCTCACGAGCAATTGATGACAACAAATTGTTACGTCAAATGCCACCACCAATACAGTTTCTTCGCGAAGAAATATTCAATCAAATTTCATGTTTGGAACATATATAGGCGATTTCGAATGGTTCGAGGTGAAAATAACGAATATCGTGTCCGATAAACACTCCTTCTTTCTTCAAGGTCCCATACGATTCAAACATAATTTACAATGTTTATTTGCAAATAATAATCTCTCTGGGAGTATATCGATTTCCCCGATAATGCAGATATTCGTTTTTTTTTCGTAAAATTAGTTTTATAATTTTGCAGGGAGACAGTGTTCCTTATGATTCGAGCAGAATTTTGGTGAGTGCATTTCGAAAAAGAGCGTCTTCCATCTACCGAAACGTTTTGATAATGCAGGCTCCCGACAATACGATTATCATTTCTGTAATATCTTTAATTTGCAGATGTTTGTTCGTTTCGTATGACATATTTATAAACGCCCTATAATCTTATTTCAAGCAGAATCTTACAGTGTCTTTGATTATAAGTATCATTTTGAAATCACGGTGTTAAAATACAATAGCTGATTTTGCGAAGATTTAGAGAACCTACGTTTCTATTCTTTAAATCGATCTTGCATGAGAAAGAACAGATTGATGATATAGATATATGACCTATTTCGATCGGATGACAGAACAAAATAATGCAATATGAAACAATAATGTGCCAAAACATACAGAAAGAATACAATTATACATATCGTTTCTGTTTTGTTCGTGAACAAATTAATATAATTGAAGTATTGAACACATTGATGAACAGAAATGAACAATCATGCCAACGTCAATGCCTAAAACACTTCGATGTTGGGAGGGAAATTAACAATCAGAAATAGAATCTAAATCAATGTCATGTACGGAAAATAATAATGAAACAAATCAGTAGCCAAAGTGAAAATTTTAGAGTCAAATCTTTCAAGACGAGAGCGGACACACACGCGGGGATTACATGAATAACTAATGCGTTGGAACGGGCGCGAAAGCTTTTCAAAGTTAAGCTCCCATTCACAAATTCACAATTCACAAAGAGCGCTTCGCCGTTAAGCGCACCGCCCCCCCCCCCCCCCCACTGAGTGTTATGTAGGGTACGCATATGCATGTTCCCTCCTTTTGAAAACAGCCCCCTAAGTCCGGTGTGTAAAGTCAATACGGGCCGGACTTTTGTGTACTAGACGAGCCGGACTTTGGTGCGTGAAAAGTACCCCTTTATAACAATAAGTCTCCAAACAATAGCCAGATTTGAAATTCATATTGTGAGCATGTGCTTAAATCCTTCAGACTTCAGACTTCAATGGGAACGGACGTGTAATTTTTACTCTCTCCAGCCACCGCCCTTTTATTCACCCAACGAACCCTTACTCGAGCTTAAGCATTTCTGCTTCAAGGATTTTACTGGACTATAGAGGATATTCATATCTTAGAATCTCATTCCACACTAGAAGCAGGGTAAAGTATCGCGAATTTTGAAGGAAATGGCTAATTCCAGGGCTTTACGTTCATCTGTAAGCACAAACGGACCCGCCCAATCTCCAGACCCGCAAGGTGCATATACTACGAGAGGTGCCAGCAAGCCAGGCCCAAGTGAGCCGCTACTTCGCCCGCAAGCGGAACCCGAATTGACGCTCGCCGACATCCAGCGTTCGATAACCGCTAGCTCAGCTGCAGTATGCGAGAAACTGGACCTACTCACAGCAGAGGTGGCCTCCATCAAGCGCAGGCAAACCGAACTCGAGGATTCTGTTAGCATGAATTCCGATTTGGTTGCCAACCTTCAGCATGTAAAGCTACCCGCGATTGAAAAGAAAATGGCGGAAAAAATCGCCGACCTCGAAGAGAAGATTGTCATAATGGAAATCTACAATCGGCGCGCCAATCTTCTTTTTTACGGCGTTAATGAAACCCCCGACGAAAAAGTACGCGACGTCTTGCAAAAGGTCTTCATACACCTCGGCATCAATGAAAGGGAAGCTAACGACATCGCGATCGCAAACGCACACCGCCTACCAAGACGCAACAACGGAGCTACCGCCTCATCGACCCGCCCACAAGCCCCGAATGCAATCATCGCGAAGTTCGTTTACATGGAGGATCGTAACCGCCTGCTCGCCGCTTTCGAAAACGGTCAGCGCCAAAGGATCCCCCAAGATCGCGCCACGGCGTCAGTGAGAATCACAGTGCGCACAGACCTCCCCCCAGCCCTCAAAGCCAGGAGGGGAATGCTTGCCAAGATCGCTTACGACCTCCGGAAGCAAAAGGGAGTCTCCACTAAGATAATCGTTGTCGGAGCTTCAGTTGAACTCAAATGGAAGGAAAAAAACACCTCCAAGTGGAATAACCAGCAGGAGTAAGGTAAATCACCTCAGCATTGAACACAAATCACGATAATTATTCTCTACCTTCTCTGGAATGTGCTCTGTTTACTGTGTGATACATGTACATCTATTTTACCGTTTCAACTTAAATGCATTTTAAATTCTGATTAACTTTTGATTAACATGTAAACATACATGTAACCCGATACCGTAAGAAGGGTATCTCCCCCCCCCCCACTTCCCCCTACTTTCTCCCCCCCCCCCCCCCTTCTCTCTCTTGCTTTTGCCTGAATTTTCTAAATTTCTTCTACGTGCGGTGGCTGAAAGGAGCCCATGAGTTTCTTGTACGTGTTCTAGTACAAGTGCTAAGTAATGAATTTTCTTGTTTTTATTTCTTATCTGTGTTTTGTCTCGATCTTATTTCCAATGAATGTATACGTATGTACAATTGATTCAGTTAACTTCCTGATTGATGCTACCTGTACTAAATCGGTTATCACATTCTATTGTGAACCATCTCTAATTCTACTATACAACAAATGTCATATTATAAACCACGCCTTTTGTGTATTTACACCACCTGAACGTTCTTCTTTCCTATTCATATATATATACATGTCATTCCAGTTCATCTACTGGAATAAATAATTCATGATTTCTATTGTTCGGCTTTTGTAAACGTTCAGGTGGTGCAAACATGTATGGTGCATACTCTGCTATTTATTGGCTCGTTACTACTCTTCGGTTTAATGTATTTCTTTTTCTTTCTTTTCTCTGTATTGTATTGTATTGAACTCGCAAACAACTATTTGTCAAACTACTACAGTCTTAATTTTAATTGTGTACCTCTCTCTACTGTAAACATTTTCTGTCCCTGTTATTTTTCAAGTCGCCCAGGAACCTATTCTTTACAAGCTCTGCTTTTCTATAGGTTCCTGCACATTTCACAGTTTGTACTTTTATCTGGGTTTCCTTTAAATGATATTAGTTGTCAAACAAATGTGATGATTACCTTGTCAATTAATATAATCATTTTGTTATATTATGAAACAATATGTCTTTTATGTATATTTTGTTATCTGTATTATTTCTGCATGTGAAATGTGAAATCAATAAACTCAACAATAAACTCAACTCAAATAGTTATATCGGGATTTCCTGGTTATATTGAAGACGTGGGCTAATATTGTGTACATGTGTGCCCAGTATTTCTCCCTGATTGTTCGACCAACATTAAATTGCTATTGTCCAGCTGACTTTTCTATAGGCTTTTCTACCCTCGGCGCTGAAGGGCAGTGGCGGATCCATGGGGGGGGGGTTATTTTTTTCCTTTTCTGGGGTTTGCCCCCCCCCCCTGGCGCTCAAGGGGGGGGGGGTGCAAATTTTAAAATTTTCGAGGGCCAACAAAAAAAATGTGCACACTATCCCCCCCTCCCCCCCCCCCCCCCCCCCACTGAGCGACTTTTCGGCCGGCGCGATTTTCAAATTTTCGGGAGCAAAAAAAAAAAAAATTGTGCTCTCTACCCCCCTCCCCCCCCCCCCCCCCCAAACTAAGCGACTTTTCGGCCAGCGCGATTTTCACATTTTCAAGAGCAAAAAAAAAATTGGGCGCCCTCCCCTAAGAAATCCTGGATCCGCGCCTGCTAAAGGGATTGCGGAAAATTTAAACACTATTTGTGTTTCGTGATGACCCAGTAGAAGAAGAATAAGGGCTAGCCCCCCCCCCCCACCCCTAAAGAAAAAATGGCCCAAAACAACGCAATCATTATAAATTCCGTCTACTACTTGATACCAACACGCGCATGATGGATCATTATTTAGACAGCTAGTGAGACAGTTCTGTTACGAGAAGCAATTGAACGAATTGCCATGGCTTGTATTATTTGTTTTAGAACGCACTACGCTCTTTCGATACCACGTGGCCCCAATTAAGCACAATATATACGTATTTCAGTTCTTCTCAACAATGACCTAGATCTAAAACTGGCCGCGGCTGTAACCCCCCCCCCCCCCCCCCCCCTTCTTCGTAAAGAAATATTCGTTAAAATTCTTTGGAACAGAATGATAAACTAATTTCTTCCTGAGATAATATCTCAAGAAGAAATTAGAAATCAAGAAGAAAATTTCACCTCGAACATATTATGTTCGAGGTGAAATTTAAAACATTATTTCCTGGTAACGCTCTTCTTTTTTGATGCATGTTCTATTCTTACGATTTAGGCATAATTTACTATGTTGATTTGCAATTGATAATCTCCCTGGGAGTTTTGCGATATCCCCGATGATACAGGTACAGTGTATTTAATTTTGTTCGTAACATTAGTGTTTTGCAAAGAAAGAACATTCTGAAAATGAGCGTCTTCCTTCTAACGAAACATATTGATGATGTTCCCGACAATACGGATATCATATGCATAAACAAAAATCGTAATACAGATAAAACGCTTTTTAAATCAAATTCAAGGAGAAACTACGACATTCTTGATTAAGTATCATTTTCAACATCAAGGATTTAAAAATACGTTATCTAATTTTAAGAAGATTCAAAGGATCTATGTATTGAAATAACAGACTGATGATATAATTATATGATTTATAATGATCATACGACAGAACTGTTTACAAGATTCAACGAAAATTAAAGAAAACAAAACATGCGATAACATCGCTAGAGGAAATATACACAATTTTAAAGTAATATGAATCAAATAAAGTGTCAAAACATGCACGAGGAAAACAATGTCAGAGAGAGTGGGGTAAGTATAAAATAAAGTTGTTTTTGTCGTGAACAAATCAATTTGTATTAAAATTAATATACTGAACACAATCATGAACAGAACAGGAGGAGATGAATAATGAACAATCATGCCAACGTTAACGCCTACAGAACTCCGATGTTGAGAGGAAAATAAACAATCAGAACAAACATTGTAACCAATGTCATGTACGTAAAATAATATTAAAACAAATCAGTAGCCAAAGTAATGCTTTTCAGAGTCAAATCTCGCAAGACGAGAGCGACACACAAGCAGGCACTTTACATGAATAACTAATGCGCCGGACCGGGCGCGAAAGGGCGCGAAAGCTATTCAAAGTTTAAGCTCCCATTCACAAGTGTCAAGTGCTTCACCGGGGCGCGCCCCGGCGGTGTAATTTCGTAACAATGAGACTCCAAACAATAGCCAGATTTTAATGAGCTGGGAACCATCTGAAGTCCTCTCGTATCCGACGCAAAAAGGCGCAAATGGGCGCAATAAGGCGCCTCCTTTGTTCTCATATCCTGCTCTGCGCCCCGACGCGTCGCGGCACAGTCGCAACTTTGGAAGGCTCCCCTAAGGTTGTGAATAACAATTTAGTTGGTAACCTGACAGATGATACATTTAGTGATCACAATGGACTAACCTATCAGACTGAAACACTCTACTTTCATTTATTCCACACATGTCAACTACCTCAGAAGGTACACAAGAGCAGTTTCTGAGACATTTAGTTTAGTTCCCAACCAACTAAGTTACTTTAGTTCCCAACTAGCTAAGTTAGTTGGCCTCTCTATTGTTGGCAAGTGGGGATATTAGTTTCCTACTAGATCCTAGATTACAGTACATGTATCTAAAGGTTTGGTGAACATGGCCCAGCTATTTTGTCTGACCTGATCAACTCCTTTGATTATTGAATGGTGTGCATTTGTTCCTTACACTATTACATTCCACAATGATCCATGCATCATGCGTTACGTACACAGGTCAGAGTTCTACCCGGTGAGAAGACACTACGCTTACACTACTCAGCATGTAAGACATACAACGCTGACTTTGATGGAGATGAGATGAACGTGCATTTCCCCCAGAATGAACTGGGTCGAGCAGAGGCACTCACTATAGGTACGACTCGTTTGAATATACAAAGCTTTTGTGAATAGACGATATATGTTTAGTTCAGATGGTCATCGTTATCATCATTCCAATCATCACTTTGAAACCATCATCAATCATTTCCATGGACATAATCATTATCAACAATACCATTACCATCATCATCATCATCATCTTCACCACCACTACCACCATCACTATTTCCGTAATCATGATAATAATGATAATAATAGTGGCTTCTTGTACAGCGCTCACATACGTCACGTCATGACGCTCCAGATCATCATCGTCACTTTCATCATCGTAATCATCCTTAGCTCTGTTGCAATTATTTTCATTTTGACCATGTTCTGAACTGATTACCAGACAGTTACATGTACCTTACTAAGACCACTTAATAAATACAGCACCATCTTTTTTCTCTATGTTTATTCCAGCTAGTACCAATCATCAGTACCTGGTTCCTAAGGATGGTACCCCTCTGGGTGGTCTCATCCAGGATCACATTATATCAGGGGTGAGGATGACAGTCAGAGGAAGGTTCTTCACAAGGTAAACACACTATTCACTCATATAAATTCCATTATATCAATCTCTGCTATTCAAATGAACACCCCTCTTCAAACATAAGGGGCTCTTTTTTTTACCCCTTCTTCCCCTGTTCAAACATTCATCATGATGCCTCATGAGTGCTCTAAGTGGCGTCACCTTTTATGATTTCTTTTGTCTGCTGTTTTGTTCAAAGTTATATGTGATAAAGCTCATACAAGAAGCATATTGTAACTGAATATGTGCCAGAATTGCAAATATATTTGGCTTTAAATTCAATTTTTGGTAGTAAGTTTTTGTAGGATATCAGTGATATTGATTCAGCATAGATTCATTAAAAGTTTGGAGAGATAAGACTTATACAAGATACATATTTCATTTAGCAATAGAGTTCATGATTTGCATCTCATAAAGTGAATATGTGCGAGAATTGCCAATCTATTTGGATTTAAATCCAATTTTTGGCAGTGATATGAGTGATATTGATTCAGCATTGATTTTTCTCATTGTCTTGCTCACTTTCCATCAAGGCTTGAATACCAACAGCTTGTCTACTGTTCACTGACTGACAAAGAGGGCCCGGTCAAATGTCTCCCTCCGTGTATCAGGAAGCCTGCCCTCTTGTGGTCCGGGAAGCAGCTGATTTCGACTATCATCATCAATACCATACCCGAGGGATGTAAGCCGCTTGACTTCATTGGAAAGTCAAAGATCAATAATAAGGTATGAATCAATCAAATCAAAGTATCAATACACTCTTACCCATAAAGTTAAACTAGTTATTTTCATTTCTCTTTGGTCCATTTTCTACTAAAATTTAAGAGAAGGTTGAGTTCTGGGGAGAGGTGAAATATAATTTGTGAGTGTTATCGTTGTTATTATGCAAGAGTGGAAGAACATCAGAGGAAAAAATGTTCCCTGAAAAGCATGGCTCTTCAAATGCCTTCATATTCTAAATATGACAAGTAACAGCTTAAAAATGAGGCCCACATTTTTATGCCACATGTTTGTGTAGTCCCATATACATCTTTCTATGTATAGTGCTTGTTACTTTACAGAGACTGGGCCAAATTTCTTAGCATTTTGATGATTCCAGAACCTTACAATACACACCAATACTTATTTGCTACATGATCAACTTTTTCTGATCGATTCCACACCGTTTCTTTCGCAATGCAATCGCCTGACCAGAACTCAACTTTATCTTTAAAGCCCACTGTCCTACTTGTAGCTTCTTGCTCCCTCTTTATAGAAAACTTCCCCAATCGGTGCCTGTTGGTTCCCCATGATCCTCTATTTCTTATGTTATTTGAGAGCTGAGTTGATGAGATAGCCACCTGTCAGTGACCTTGCTGTGTGGTCTAATCCCTCCTAGCCACACTAGTGTTGATAAGCTTTAAGTGAAGATCAATTCCTATTACTCACATTGTTCCTTGGATTAAAGACTCACTACCTATAATGTCTGTATTGCAGTCCTGGTGTAAAGCAGAGCCTAGGCCACCTAAAGCAGGTGGTGGCGCCCTCGTTGGTACGGACATGTGTGAGTCTGAGGTGATCATAAGAGAAGGAGAGCTGCTGAGTGGTGTGTTAGACAAGGGCAACTATGGACCTACACCCTATGGATTAGTGCACTGTATTTATGAGGTAGGTCACTAATCAGGCTACCACCTGAGATTTGTTTTACATTTTAAAACTGATTATTCCTCTCCACCTTGGCATTGTTCTTGGTTTCATTCCTTCTCGCGCCACCAAGTTTTCACATATATAATACAAATAAGATATGATGAAAGATATTTTTAACCACTGTCTCATTTTTCTATAACTTCATTGTGATATAAGGACTTGTTTTATGATATCCAACTGCACGCATTTTGGTTTAAAGGAAACACAAGCATTTCTTTCTCAAAATATTGTGATTATTAACAAAATTGGGGAGGGGGAGTAAATAATAATAATAATAATAATAATAGCCTAATAGTCCACTCCAAATTTTATTAAACCGAAAATGTCCTATGGTACTGAAAAAAGAAGTGGTAACAAAGATACTTCCAGTTCCAAAACCTCTACCCTATCAGCATCATGCTTCTCCACAGGGTAAACTAGGTTTCAAAAGGTATGATAAAAATTTACTCTAGTCTTTTTCTCTAGCTATGATTGCTCTGGGCTTTATTCCGTCAAACATGTAGGGTTAGGGTTAGAGTTGCAGTTGGGTTTTATGTTGGGTTTAGGTTAAGGTCTAGGGTTGTGTTAAGTATTTGGTCTAGGGGTGAAGATCAGGGTTAGGGGTAAGGCTAGGGTCGAGTTGAGAATCATGTTAGTGTGGAATGCTGACCACAGAACACATGTTATACAACCATTGTTAAGTTGGGAGTATTAATGCCATGGTATTGTTGTGTCCTGTACAGCTATATGGTGGTCATATAGCTGGTAAACTGCTGAGCCACTTTGGACGTCTCTTCACGACCTTCCTGCAGCAGCACACTGGCTTCACGCTAGGACCAGAGGACATCATTGTCTTAGACAAGGTACCCCCTTTTGCCTCACTAAAATATGAACATCCAAAATAATGATTTTATTATACTATAATAGGAGTAATATAAAGTAATGTTGAGGTGTCGTCTAGTGGATACGTGACCCGACCGTGAATCACATGGTTCATGGTTCGAGTCCTGCTTTAGCGACCACCTGTTTACAAATACCACCTGTTTATGAAACTATAAATTCTGTTTCGTTCGAATAACGTTTCTGTTTGCAATATCTACTGAGAGAACCTGTGCATATTTAGATCACCTGCGTGTAAAGAAATGTTTTCTTGTCATCTTTGAGTTGCCCTTTATAAACAAGTTTCATTTAATGTGATATGTACATTGTAGATTATGTTCCTAGATATCTTTGTATAATAGACTTTGTCACTGTTTCAAGCCTACAGGTCACAGATTAATAATAATGATTATGATAATGAGTATTTATCAAGCGCTGTATCCATTCCACACAATGTTTGTTGCTTAGAGATCTTTGCTTCATGAGACTATCTTATTCCCTTATAACAGGCTGATGAGAAGCGTCTAGATATCTTGGAGGAGTCTAAGGACTGTGGATCAGAGGCTGTTGCTCAGGCGTTGGGTGTAGAGGAGTTCACTGGTTTCCATGCCAGCACCCTCACAAAGAGATATGAAATTGCCCATAGGTATTTCCATCTTTCTCATTGTAATCATCGGTAGTGTATTTCTACATCAAGCATCTTTTATGTTCTCTTTGTTTAAATGTATGGCCAGTCCTCTTAAAGTGAGTATTGAGGCAAAAGTCAGAAATCTAAACGAATTCATGTATGATGACTTTGAAAATTTAATTTAAAATTGGTCTATATTTTGTGTCTTTGATGCATAAAGGTACTCTATTTGTATTCTATCTATTTATATTGAGATTGAAATTATTGTAATTTGCATGTATGAGTAATTTATATGATTATAAGGCTTTTACATCATTTCATTTCTGCTAATGATTTTGCAGGAATATCATATCAGATATCCAGAAATTAGACTGTGATGTAATAGAAAATTGTTTTCTCTATATCTAACTGGAAAATTCATGTTGGAGTTTGTTTTGTCATATTCCAGAAAGCCTGATGGGAGTGATATGAAGGAGATTGATCTACAGATGAAGACTAAGACGGATCTTTATAGTAACCAAGTTAGCTCTACCTGTCTGGGCTCTGGACTACTTAAACAGTTCCCTGAGAACAACCTACAGCTAGTTGTCTTATCTGGTGCTAAGGGATCTATGGTAAGTAGATGGGCTTGACTCTCTTTGTAATAGACTAAATCTGACCAGTCCTAAGTCAGCTCTACATAGCTTGGGTCTGGACTACTTAAACAGTTCCCTGAGAACAACCTACACCTAGTTGTCCTGTCTGGTGCTAAGGGATCTATGGTAAGTACATCTAAGAAGTAATCAATACGTTATAACCAGTCCTGAGGAGAATGTGTGCTATTGATTAATCATGATTCCATCTTATCCTTTCAGGTGAACTGTCTTCAGATCTCCTGTCTGCTTGGTCAGATAGAGTTGGAAGGACGTCGTCCACCCCTGATGGTCAGCGGTCGGTCACTCCCGTCCTTCCCACCCTATGAGACTAGTCCTAGGTCTGGGGGATACGTGGCTGGTAGGTTCCTGACTGGAATCAAACCTCAGGAATACTTCTTTCATTGTATGGCTGGTAGAGAAGTGAGTTTTTATCTTCCCTTTTCTTTTTTGTGTAGATAACAGTGTTTTGATTCAAAACACTGTGTAAGGGAAAGGTAGAAATAAGCCAGAATTTTGCTGGGCTTTCTGTATTTGTCTGTTTGGAGCCAGAAGGGCGTTAAATCATATCATTTTTACATAGAGTTACTACCTTTCTGGCTTCAAAAAGATATTATTTTTCCTTTTAAACTCTGTCCTATAAGCTTGCTGGCATTGTCAGGATGCAGCTTATTCTTTAGTCATTCTTTGTTTTGGCTTTTATGAAAATATGTAATGGAGTCTTTCTTAAAATCCATTTTTAGCACTAATCGCAAAAGTGATCAAACATGCAAAAAGTAGAAGTAAAGTAGGAAGGAGTTACATGTTTATATTAATCTCAGAATCAATCGTCAGTAGCCTTTTCATTCATTTCACATGACATACAAAAAAATTAAGTTTCTGGCCTTATGCTCGTGGATGCTGAAAACTGTAAGGCTTGGATAAGGTCCATGAAGGAACTGAAAGGTCCAACCCCATGGCATGAGAAAACGACATTAGACGATGATGACGATGATGGTCATCATGATTATGAATATTGATGATCATCATCATCATGATTATATAATGTCTCATTTTTATTTTGTAGGGTCTGGTGGACACAGCAGTGAAGACAAGTCGCAGTGGTTACCTCCAGAGATGTATCATCAAACATCTAGAGGGATTGGTAGTCAACTATGATCAAACAGTAAGTTACATCTAGAGGGATTGGTAGTCAACTACGATCAAACAGTAAGTTACATCTAGAGGGATTGGTAGTCAACTATGATCAAACAGTAAGTTACATCTAGAGGGATTGGTAGTCAACTACGATCAAACAGTAAGTTACATCTAGAGGGATTGGTAGTCAACTATGATCAAACAGTAAGTTACATCCTATAATCTCAAAATAATAGACACATTTAGCTATCAGTCATGTTTCACAAAATAATTGCAAATTTTTTCAAAATTGTATTTTTTGGAAAGATTTCATCCAGACTTTACTGCCATGGTTTTCTTCCATCCCGTAGCATTTTTTACTCATCTTTGTACATTGTTCTTTTCATACCTTTGCATTTTTTGTACTTTTCAAGTAAAATTAACATCTCATGTATCTTTTACTTCTTCTATTATGGATTATCTTGTTATTTCTATTGCCTATTTCATTCTATATTTTCTTATTTCATTTTCCCTGTACAGGTTAGGGATAGTGATGGCAGTATAGTCCAGTTCCAGTATGGTGAAGATGGTCTAGATATCCTCAGGACTCCGTTCCTACACAAAGAACAGTTCCAATTCCTGATAGAGAACGCCAATGCTCATCTGCCATCACAGTCCAAGTATCGTGGACCGGTCAATGACCCCAGTCAGGCAGAGAAACTATTCAGGAAGGTATATGTGCTTCATATCCACTTTATATTGAATTTGTGTTTTTAAAGGTATAGACCAGTTTTGGAAACGCCCCCCTATAAAAATAATGAAATGGAAGCTCTTATTACCAATCATGTGAAAGAATATGTTTGACTAATACGTGATGATACAAATTTTGTCAGGAAACCGCCTACTAATTGATATATTTGGTAAATTATTATATCTATCTAGACCGGATAGATATCGCGCACGTTTCGCGTAGTCCCATATACATCTTTCTGTGTACAGTGCTTGTAACTTTACCAAGACTGGGCCAAATGTCTTATCATTTTGATTATTCCAGAACCTTGCAGTACATACCAATACTTATATGCTAGATGATCAGCCTTTTCTGATCGATTCCTTAACGTTTCTTTCACAATGCAATCGCATGACCATAACTGGTCTTTATCTTCAACGGTTCATAGTTATTCTAAAGTGACTACTTTATTGTTTCTCTGTCAGATGTATAAAGTGCAATATGGTTTATAGGTGTCAGATATTTCATCATTTGTAGATAATCATTGCATCCGTTTAACTAGGTATCAAATAATCACATAAGTGTTAACACAGAAATTTGAAATAATTCCTCGGTGTTTAAGGCTAAATAAAATGCTCTTATTGAAGTAATTGGGCAGATTCATGCATTGAAAATGAAGTGTTCAAATATTGAACATTTCTCCCGTGATGCCGGGATGTTAATAACTTATGATGCAAGTGAATGGCAAGTAAACTAATTGAATATGTTCAATGATTATATGTTATCTCTGCCCACTCACCACTGAATAGGCTTCAATCTGTTTTGATTTCTATATTGTTTGATCAGATCAAGAGATGGAAAGAGAAACATTCTGATAGCTCCAGATCAGAACGAAGGTCTCCATTCCTAGAGTTCTGTCATAAAGAGTATCCATCCATCTTAGAGAATGCTCAATCTGATGAAGATAACGTAAGGAAGGCTTATAACAAGGCAAAGAAGAGGATCATTAGGAGATGGAGAGAAGTCACAGATAGGCATAGGTAAGTCAGTCATTGGTTATTTGGTTGAAACAAATTATCATCAGTAGACTTGTTTAAAACTTTATGTGCCTTTTTCACTGTTGTTGTGATTGAAACGTGTATGAAACGATGTCCCTGACTTAACAATTCATATATATATATATTCACAGGCATTTAGGTTCAGGAGAGCAACTTCTGTCTAAGAAATATATCTAAACTTTGAATTCATAATAGTGTTATAAAAGTGTTTGAGGAAACAGTCTAGACCTGTGTCTCTCATTTTGTTTGATTTTCAAGGCTTTAATTCAGTTCTGATGTAGACTTTGATGACTGCGGATATAGGTAGAAAAGTCTGCAATGAAATTCAACAAATGATGCAAATGCTTGCCCTCCGACTCCAATATGTGGTTTGTATGTAAGAGTAAATCTCTCTTGACTTATGGCTTTGTGTTGATTGTCAGGTATGAGAAGAAGACGGCTCCCTGTCCAGACCCTGTCAGCTGCCAGATGAGACCTGATAGACATCTTGGAGCTATCTCAGAGAAACTAGAATCTCTCCTACAAGACTATCTAGACTCAAGATTACCAACATCAGATGATGCAGATGGGACTAAGAGAGAAGATGAAGAGACTAAACTGAAGAATATGATGTATAGCAAGTATCAGAGAGCTTTGTGTGATCCGGGAGAAGCTGTAGGTCTTCTTGCAGCTCAGGTCAGTAGTATCAAGGGGTATAGGGTCTTTAGAATCCCAACATGAATTGATTAGAGTGGGACTATGAGAGAAGATGAAGAGACTAAACTGAAGAATCTGATGTATAGCAAGTATCAGAGAGTGAGATAGGTAGGGGAGGCTAGACTGAAGAGGGGTTCTTAAGGATACTTGAACTTTTATTGGGGATCCCAGAAAATAATGTGTGACGTGTTTGGAGACATGATAATACAGCAAGGAATAACACACTAGATGATATTATTTGTTCAGATTTACCAAGAAATCTTTATTTCTATAAATAGGTTTTTATTATTTAAAAACCTCAAGAAAGACTTTACGGGAATGGAAACTGCAATTGTAGTATGATTCCCTTGCCAATCATGTTAACTATATTTATTTGGAAGACATTAACTACTATGTCTATTTTTTAAATTCATCTGAATTTGTTTCTTGTTGCAGTCGATTGGAGAGCCTTCAACTCAGATGACATTGAATACGTTTCATTTTGCTGGTCGTGGTGACATGAACGTAACACTGGGTATCCCAAGACTCAGGTAGGCAAGGAGAAGGTGAAGAACTTGGGGGGGGGGGGGGGAGTGTGGAGGAGGGGTTCGGTTTGGTAGGGTATCAAAAGCCATCCGTGGTGTCTTTAGTTATTAACCTTGTGGTGTTTAGTGTAATATTACTCTTGTTGGATATTAAAATTGTGTTTGTGGGATGTGAAAATTTAGATTCAATGAATTATTGTTTGTAAATATTTGTGTGCACTATTTTCCAAACACCAGTATCCTTCTTTATAGTAGGTTATTAACAGAGACCTTTAACGGTAACCAGTTTTATGATTGGAATCACTTTTCTTTTCTTTTTAACAGGGAGATTCTTATGGTAGCCAGTGCTAATATAAAGAATGTTATCCCATCTCTTGTTTTACAGGGAGATTCTGATGGTAGCCAGTGCCAATATAAAGACCCCTAGTATGACGATACCATTCCTCAATCCTGATATCTCGGCTAAGAAGATTGGCAGGATATGCAGGCAGCTCAGTAGAGTCCACCTGTCACAGGTATGATGTGTATACCTATTATTCATTTCTTATTTTCTCATTGTAATTTGTTGCTGATATCAGTGATTTTTAGTCAATGGTTTTGACCATATAATTATCATATTAACATAATCAACAACTTAATTTACATTTTCACTCATGTGTGCATGCTGAGTTTGTATGCCCTTTGGTTTATGTGTGCTGAACCCAAGGTAAATTTTAGATAAAACTCATTGGAAATAGTAAAATGTAAAGAAATATTGTCCAATGGTTGAAGTAGTGAGTGCATGCTGGGTGTAGGAGGGTATGATACTGTTATCTGATGGTGTGCCCAAATGAAAGCATATCATATATCAATCAATTGGTAGTTTTAATTGAGTCTTAATTTATTTTCTCACCATCCTTTTTTCCGTCCCCTTGCTTTCATTCATATACAGGTAATTGAAGATATAGATATCTGGGAATCCTATGACTTTCCTACGACACAGTGAGTAAAACATTGAATTTCACTCTCATAGAATACTGAGCTATCTCCTCTTAAATCTCCTCTTCTTGTAGATCTTATTTAAGATGGAATATACTTGTTTACTACAAAAATATCCAAATGAAAAATATTGATTTACAAAGATGGAAAGCAATGCATTGATCTGATTCGTGCCCTCTCTGGACAGTACAAGAAGATCCCCAAACAGGAGACTTTCCTCTCATTAAACAGACATGAATGTCAGTTATATAATGTATGTATTTGGGTATTTGTTGTTCCTGTAAACAATATGGTATGTAACAGAAATATGTGTCATGATTAGATGACCCACCCTACTTGTACGGGGCCATTTATCTGTTTCAAACATTCAAAGGCGCCCGCTCCTCCATTAGTCATGGACCAAACATTTGCTTGAATAGATCGGTTTTGAGGCCTGCCTTAAAGCTTTATGATGCAGAGATAACTCTATTGTCCTGTTTTCCTCATGCAGTGATCACTATCGTGTATACAAGATCAGACTCAACTTCTTGCCTCATGAAGAATACAAGGTAGGTTGAACGTAGTAAAGCTCTTCGTATTAATAATTATAACAGCATCAATGCATAGCACTCATCTATGGTACAGATCAAGGTACAATTCATGAGGTTTTTTAATGTTATACCTTTCTGTTTCAAGTTAGAAATTCTGAAACTCAGTGCAATTATGGTCCTGATTCTAATCTGATCTTCTTGCTTTTTCACTATAACTTACAATTTGTTCAACCTCTGTGAGATTTCTCCTTACGCAGTTGTAACGTTACAAGTTTTCAGTCTGTTTTCTGCATTTTTACCACTTTGTACCGGTATTATCTATTCAGGTTATGATGTATAATTTATTAACTATCTAACATAATTGATTTAATTTGTAAGTGGTCATTTCAATTTGGACATAGTGATGGATACATGTAAAAATTCTGAATTTGTATGCTGATATTTATGCATTTCATGATGTAAATTAGACAATTTTAGCACGGTGGGTGCATGCTCAGTGTATATTTCTTGTACAAGAAAATAATATGATTTGCAATTTCAATATTTTTATATTTGTTTAGGATGAGCTGAATGCCACTCCAGCTAGTATCCTGTCTTACATTGAAGTGACTTTCCTCAAGCAGTTCTTAGAGATTGTCAAGAGAAAGATGAAAGATCTCAAGAAAGCAAAGTAAGTATTAAAGGTAATACCACAAAATTTTGAAAATTGGGTGGATAGTGATTCTTTACAATTTGGATATATTTGGATGCCCTGTGGATGTATTATAAGCACTAGAAAATTTAGCCTCTAAAACTCTTCTGCTTTCGAGAAAAATTTAATATATCAATTGACCGGTGCTCCCGGTAGATTTTGATAAATTTCAAATAGCGCCTAGGGCCGTAAAATGGTAGCTGCGACCATAAAAATCTGTGATATATAGTTGTGATATATAATTTCCAAATGGGAATAGCTAATCAGTCGATTTTAGTCCAGAATCCTTGTTTTATAGCTTAATTAATATCTTGACCTTGAGAGGGAACTATACAACATAGAGAGTTTATTATTTACAATTTCATAACTTTAGACTCGATTTCAACCGCGACAACGATCACTGAATATTGTAGGATCGCATATGCTTCCAATATGTTCATTTGAACCAAATTCATGACCCCATACCAGAACTTTGTATTACCTTTAAGCAAGGAATCTCATTGCCGTACATTACCTATTGCACTGTGACAAAGGGAACAAATATTATAGATGTTCCTTTACAGAACTTTGTATATGTCTTTGGAGCAATTATTAATGAGTGAATTGAAGCTCTGAACATGCTGTAATTGGGAAGGACGTTACATTGAATGTATTGTCTGTTGAGAGCCAGAAGGGCATTGAGTCTGTGTTAAAGCATGTGAGTAACACCTTTGTGGCCTCAGACAGGTGATATCATTTGACATCATTAGATAATTCATCAGTTTGAATTGAAGATGGCATCACTCCCATCATGTGTAAAACATTTAAAACATACAAATACAGGATGGAATGATTAAAGAACAAGATAGTGATAACAATTACAATTTATTTGTACTTTTTAGCTTTGCATCATCCAGAAAATCCAAGTTGGACGTGATTGGTGATGGTGGCAATGCTGCCCCTACCCAAGATAAAAATGGAACAGACCCAGCCATGCAAGAAGATGAACCAGCCTCTGTGTCAAGGAACAGAGATTCCATTTCATCAGAGGGGAGTGGTGATGAGGAGGGTGATGGTACAGCATCTAAATACAAGAAGAAACATGATGAAGAGAAGGAGTATGAGGATGATGGAGGAGAGGAAGCAGAGGAGGAGATGGAAGGAGAATGGGAAGAAATCATTGATACAGGTTGGTAGACTTCGAACTTAACCATTGCTGAATGAAATGCCTCATAGTCATCGTTTTTGTTTAGATGTCATTTCATAATAATGCATCTGTTAACAGAATACATTACAATTTGGAACTAGAATATTATATCAGGAATTATTAATAAGAACATCTGATCTGTAGATTAGTAACATTTTCAGCACTATAAAATTACAAGAAAATGTACATGTTCTATGTTCATGATACTAAATTCTTGATGATGTCAATGAAAGTCAATGTTATGTCAGAGCTTCTGAAGAAATATATATAGGTGAAATTCATGACCTAAGGACTTGTGCCATGCTGAGGCTTGAACCTATAACCTCATCCTCTGAACCACTGGATTACTCAGGCCCATCTATTTTGTAAAAGAGCATTGATTGTTAGGTTTTTATTGGCTACAACTGGTCTTTTTCAATTGCTTTTTTATCATTGTTTAAAGAGAAGGTTTAGTTCTGGTGAGAGGTGAACAATAATTTGTGAGCCCCTTCATTGTTATTATGCAAGTGTTGAAGAACATCAGATAAAAGATGTTCTGTGAAAAGCATGGCTCTTCAAATGCCTTCATATTCTACATATGACAAGTAACAGCTTAAAAATGAGGCCCACATTTTTATGCCACATGTTTGTGTAGTTTCGTATACATCTTTCTATGTACAGTGCTTGTTACTTTACCTGGGCCACATTTGTTAGCATTTTGATGACTCCAGAACCTTGCAGTACACACCAATACTTATATGCTACATGATCAAATTTATCTGATCGATTCCACATCGTTTCTTTCACAATGCAATGCAATAGCATGACCAGAACTCCACTTTATCTTTAAGCAGCCCTTCTACTACATTGTGGAGCAAATTGTGAAGCATCTTGTATTAAACTGCGATGAATCAAACACTGTACTTAATGCTCTGTAGATTGGATTGGTCTACAATACCCCTTTGTCTTTATGTTTTCGTAATGTACAGGTAAGTGGGTTCCTTGTCTAACTCAAATTTCCTCCTTTTTTTTTTCTTTTTTTTTTCTTTTTTTTTTCTTGTTTGTATAAGGTGGTGATGGAGAAAATGGAAAAGCAGATAGCCCTGGTACTCCTGATGAAGATGATGGTGGTGATGCTGATGATGAAGCGATGGAAGAAGATCTACTCTCATCCCAGCTGGACGAGAGTCAATCATCATCTAGGAAGAAGAAGAAGAGACAGGTGGCCATCAGTGATAAGGAGAAAGATCAGAGAATACTGGTCAGTCAAATCACCTTGAAACACTCAATACTAAGCTTTGAGATCAACTTGGAATTAAATGCATGGTGAAAGACAATCAGATAGTTATCAACAGCTTGACCTCTTGAAAAAATGTTGCCCAAGATACTCAGGCTGGAGTCAAATTGTGTGGTATATCAAAATCAATCGTAATCCAACCAACTATTTTGTTTATGAAGCATCATACTGAAGGATTAGAAATGCTCATGTAGGGAAAGGCTTTCACCTCTACTGTAGCAAAGCGAATATCCTGGCACTTCAAGATGCTCCGAGAATGCAAGTGAATCAAAAATTGTAATCTGACCTACTATGACAATAGTTTTATTATGATCTGACTTCCATGTATAAACAATTCCTCTCTTTGAATACTTTGTTTGCAGGCCACAGTGAACCTGAGTCCATTGATGGTGATGTATGACTTTGATGCTGAAGATCAGCTATGGTGTGAGTTCAAATTCAAGGTAAGAAAAGAGACCACACAGAAATACAGGAAGACAAGTAGTTCATTTCTGTTCTGCAAATAACGTATAATATAAGAAGGAAATATACTTCATTACAGGTTTCAGGAGTAGATATTGTTTATTATATCCCTTATCGTAAGATTGTTGCATTAGGTGTGTACACAACAAGAAAAAGAATAGTTTGACTGTAAAAGACGTTTCCTGCCGACGAGATCGAAATAGTACATTTTTATTGATGACGTCACGCATAGTACCTTTTTTTCCCTAGGGAAAAAAGGTACTATGCGTGACGTCACAATACAAAAACGCATATTCTTGAACTATGCGTTTTCCAAGCGAGCGCGTACATGATTTCAAATGCCTCTGCGCGGTCAACCCCCGCGGTGTCACGGCGCTAGCTCAAGCCATATGCAATTTACGCTGTGCGATAACTGCAATACACTAGCGCCAGCTAAACATTTTTACATCCTTCAATGTTTCATTTGAGCCGTGCAATTTTCTTTATTTCTTTTCGATCTGAATGTTGGTGTGATCGAATGTGAGTATAAGGTTCATGTTATTACAGAAATGTACAAGGAATAATACAGATGGAAGGGATATAAAACAAATATAAAATGACTCATTCTCGGAACAAGCTGAAACTATTCGCATCGAAGGAACATCAACTAGTACTATTCTCCCGAGGGCCATCCCTCGAGTGTCATTGTATATTTGTATATAATGTGATAATGTAGGGAACAACGTTGACTCACTGCAAAAAGGATACTAACTACATGTATTGTCGTTTTAGCGGTAAGGCGATAAATAATACAGTCAGAATAAATCAGTTGTTGTGGAAATCACTTCCATCCTCGATTAGTTTTTCCTTTGATTTCATTTTCAATATACCAAGTGATATCCTTTATGTTCTTAAGATTCAAATCATTGACTGTACTTGTATTTTAGTATATCCTTGTACTCAATCTACTAGAAGTGTTTGTAAGAAATACAGCTCATATGAAGTAATCCCACTTTGTGCCTTTGCAGTTGTGCTACATGGATCTTATATGAAGCATATAACATATTTTCTTAGACAATCAACTGCCCATTATTATGTATCTCATTTATAATATCATGTTGTATACGTTGATACCTAGGTGGATTTGACTGATAATAAGCTGGACATGGCTTCACTGGTAGAGCTAGTCTCTAAACAAGCCACCGTTCATCATGTACCTGGAATCTCTCGCTGTCTTGTGTCGGGTCAGGGGTCTGGTGAGACTAAACTACTCACTGAAGGAGTCAATCTACATGTGAGTATCTATATCTTTGTATTGTAGGAAAGTCAGAAATAAGACAATGATAGAAAGCTCATCCAGATGCTGTATCTGGTAAACATGGTATGAATTGTTTGATAGCTGAGTAAAAAAATAAGTCTTTGAATATTAACAAACATATACACCAGGTAGAGATTAAATCTTCATACGTCAGTCATACCAATGAGACCAACACCAGACCTACAACAGACCTAACATTACAATACATTACCCCCTACCACTCAAATTCAAAACAGGTCAGTTTCGGGATGGGGTGGGGTCGGTTTGATTGGTTATCAGCAGATTTGTCACTGATTTTTGTCATTTGTCATTAAAAAAAGGGTTTGTGAAACGGTCCCAGGTCGAGATTCCATCCTCATGCCTCAGTCATACCAAGGAGACTAACACCAAAACCAACAACAAACTAAACATCATGATACATTATCCCCTACAGCCAAGCATCAGGGGGATTTGAATTGGATTCGGTTTGCCCGTGTGACTGAGTTATTCACTATTTGATTGAGAGTCAAGTGAATGAAGTACTATACCATGTTGGTCCTGTGTAATGACATATCATCATTCATTACTTTCTTATTTCTACAGGAGCTGTACAAGCATGACAAGCTACTAGACCTGAACAAGGCATACACCAATGATATTCATTCCATGGCCAATGCATATGGTATAGAGGCAGCATCCAAAGCTATCATCAAGGTAACATCTTATTCATTTTACATAGAGAGAGAGAGAGAGAGAGAGAGAGAGAAATGTGTATAAATGTTCTTTTAATTATTGTTATGCCTACGCCACTGAAGGTGGTGCTGGAGGCGTTATGTTTTCAGGTTGTCCATCCATTCTTCCCTCCCTTCTTCCTTCTTTCTCTTTAACACGATATCTCAATAACTTTTGAGATATGAACTTCAAACTTAATGATAGTATGACTTATATTAACGTGGGAAAATAATCTGATTAGATTTTGGAGTACCTAGGTCAAAAGTTACAGAGGTCAACTTATGAAATTCCAGGTAGCCTCGTTATCGCGATATCTCAAGAACCGCTAGAGATATGCATATATGAGATATGCAAATCAACATAAACTTTTCCTTTCTAGATGTTCATCATTTTTCTTTCAGATATTTTTTGTTAATATACTAAAAATCCAGTAAGGATCCTTCACTTTTTATATATCTGGGCTTACATCGTTTTTTTCTTCTTTTCTGTTGAACAGTATTTTATCTATCGTATACAATTTTTAGTTGCATAGTGTATTCTTAACCCATTAACACAGAGTTCTCTAATCCCTGTAGGCTTAATACATGATCTACCTACTTCCTGTAGGCAATAGATTAATATTTTTCTAGGAAGTATATGATGTGGTTTGGGGCAAGTCATTTGGTACTTTGCTGTCCAGTACATCACAAAGTATTGTAGAGTTCTGAACATTATATTGACATCAAATCTGTCTTTTCTTTTCATATTTTAGTCTGATAAAAGCTCAAGTATGGCTACTAACCTGACACAACCATCAGGTGAACACTGAAATCTTAGATGTGGTTTGTGATGTATGGTACACAAGCTTGGACTTCCTCTTTCAGTGTTCACCAGGGGTGATAGTGAGCACTAAAAAAAAAAATAGGTTTTTTGTTTTCCCCTCAACCACGCCCCCCCCCCCCCCCCCCCCCCCCCCTTGAGTAAAAAAAAAAAGAGGATTCGCAGGGAAAAAATGGCATCTAACAACATTTCCCCCCTTTCGAATAAGAAAATTGGGGGAAAAATAGGGCAAAATAGGGAAGAATAGAGAAAATAAGAGGGAAATCTGGAAAATCTGGAAAATCAGGATAAAATAGGGAAGAAAAAAAAATTGGTAAAAAAAAAAAAAAAAAAAAAAAATCTGGATTTTTTTTTTTTTTTTTTTTTTTTTAAATCGGGAAGAAAAAATCGGGAAAAAATCGGGAAAAATAAAAAAAATCGGGAAACCGATTTAAATCGGGTTTTTATCAGGCCTGGTTCACTAATCATTTCTAGCCCTTGTATTCTTGTCGTCTTTATAGGAGGTACGTGATGTATTCTCTGTGTACGGCATCACGGTAGACCCTCGTCATCTCTCATTGGTTTCCGACTATATGACCTTTGAGGGTGTGTATCGACCTTTCAACCGGATCGGTCTGGAGTCCAATGCCTCTCCGATACAGAAGATGACGTTTGAGAGCTGCATGAGGTTCCTTAGGGAAGCTACTATACAAGGTGGGTACAGGCTGGGCAGTGGAAGAAATACAAAGCTCAAAAAGGCTACTTTGAAAATGAAAATATAGAACTTAAAGAGGGCTGCAGTGCTCACAAAGCTGTCCTTTTGTTGGGAACATGCCTGTCACATGGGAATTTACATTTGAGTCCCTGATGTGATTTATTTTTCACCTTTCATTTGTTTTTTATTTCACTTATTGAGGAAGAACTTAAAAGCTAGAAAATGTTAATTTCTTGCTATAAAAGAAATCTGAAGAAAAATATTGTTGGCCCTTTTCAAAACTAGGTGTTAATTCAAAAGTTGTACAGGAAAGAGCATGAACAAATATTTGTGTTTAATTATTATTTCAATTTTTTGGTCTTGATTTTTTTTAACATAACACCTTATTTGTGGTATTTCCAGACCATTAATTTAACGATGCATAGTCGTGGGCTCTCAAGAGGAATTTGGTACTATTTGAGTGTTTACCCAATAAGAGGTGTTGTCAATCACCAGGATTAGCCTTCAGTTCTATGACCAACAGACCTTATGTAATGCCCAGCATTTTCCACCAATTGCCCTGTAGGAAAATATTATCTTACATTCCCTCATCCAAAGAGTCTCTGAGAGACTGGGGGGTATTTCTTGATGGGACCACAGGTTTGCTGTGTGCGAGACTTGTTCACCCATTAATGGTATTTCCACCAAGTCTGGTGTCAGTAAATTATGGCCACCTGCACATGGAAACTGATGACCATTGGTTTATGATATATTTTGTGTTATTATCTTTTTTCAGGTGCTAAAGATAACCTGCAGTCTCCCTCTGCACGGCTTGTAGTAGGCAGAGTAGTCAATGGTGGAACAGGATGCTTTGATCTCATACAACCTCTCAAGTAGTACTCTCTCTCATCTTCCAAACATCAACTGAAACGAGTCAACATTCAAATCTGGACAACTCTGATCACGCAGCTTCCTCTTCTATTGCATGGCTACCAACATTTGAAATTGTCAATAAGAAAGTGACATGACAGTTAGGTGTTTTACGAATATCCAACCGCCACCTGACGAGTACGCTATAACGCAATGTATTGTGTGTACATTACTCAATACGCTTGGTTTGTACGCATCTGGATAGCCACAGGACAAGGTGATCTTAGCATGCAAGACTGTGTGTACGTACTGATGTACACATGCTTGTAGTGCAAATAGCCAACCACATTCATATGAGTTAGCCATTGCGCCATGTATTCTTTGCACATTATTCTATGCGTGCATGCTATATTTGCACCCATAATCGTAATTCATGAAGGTGCATTTGTAATTTCGTACAGAAGGTCTGAAATTTGTAATAATTACACATTTCCCTAATTGTTGGCAGCTGTGCTATGATATGTGTTCTTCAGTTCAATGAATGACAGACTTTCTGAAGTTTTTCACAGTATTTGGGCTACCGATATGCTTTTTTTGTGCTCGTTCATGTATGAAGGTTTTTTTTTTAAATGTTAGCGTAAATGTTATACGCTTCACATCATTATAACAGAGAGAGAGCTCAGGATCTTGACACATACAAAAATCTGCTGCATGGTTTTATTCTTCAGCGTTTTACCGTGTATATCTGAGCCTTTAGACTTTCGCTGTCTTTTATTTATACTGTTTCACTACACAGTTTGAATTATTTTACCATGAATTGATAAATTTTGTTTTCTTTCAGTAGATGTCCTTAAAGTGTTCTTTCTTGATCAGTAGTCATGTGAATGGCTACCTTTACATGAATCAAATGATTTCAATATGAATATAACCTTTTGCTATGGCCAATATGATGTCTTCTTGGTGAAACATACGAGATAAAGGAGAGATTGTTCATTTTATTAGTAGATACAACTGTAGTTAAAATGTGTAAAGTAAAACTACACATCCGATATATACCATGGTTAATTGTACATCTGTATCATGCATTTAATAAGTTGTTTTAATTTTTTATTCTTCTAAACATTGACTAAAAGAATAAATTTTGTGTTTCCTTAATGAATATTAAAAATAATTTGACACACTAGTGTTTTCTTTGCTGCATTTCATGAATTCATTCAGTATTTAATAATGCAGAGAATATGTCATCTGATTGGAGTCAGAAGGGTGTTAACTCATATACTTTCACACAGACCTTCTAGCTCCAAATGATGTGGTGTTAGATGCAAAATGTCATCCAAATACGAGATGTAGATGGCCCTTAAACCCATTAGTTAGGCCTTTAAAAAAAAATGTTGTACTGCCTTTTGCGGCCGGCCCGGAAATCTTAAAATCTATGGTCGGCTTTTTATTTCATTTTATTTTTTTGACCGTTTTTTTAGAAAAAAATATGTATTAAAGCATTCAAAACTGAAAATTATCAGCCCAAAGAGGGAAAAAGAGAAAGAAAAGAAGAAAAAAACAATAAGGACCGACCGACCCAGGGTAATACAACATCTTTTTTTTAGGCCTTATTCATGTTACAGGGAAAACCCAATCATGAACTTAAATTTGTTTCTATAAGTAGATATTTTATCCGTAACGTAGAAAGCATAATAATTTCTTCATGTACTGCATCCATTTTTGTTTCATGAATAAATTGCGTTTGATCCCAGGAATTTTAAAAATGAAAATAAGCTGTGAAATCCTTAAATTGGCAACACCTTACAAGATTTGAAATCATCGATGAAAATTGACAAATTTTTAAACAACATTCTTGCACTTATATGTTGTTTTTCTGAGACATTATTTTCTATCAATAATGAATAGTATAAGGAAAAAAATATAAGAAAGATATTTTGTTGCCAATTTGAAGCTAAAGCTAGGGTAATGATTTCCAAAGCTCTTAGGAAGCGCATAAAGAGATGTTATTTTATAACATATTATGCGCTATGTACAAGAACTGAATATTATTATTATTTGATTAATTTAGCCCTAAAAGATATATCCTGTAATGGCCCTATATGACCTTTGAATGAACTTGTGTCCCATACACTCTGTATTAGTGCCCTGTATCTTTTACGAGTTCATCTCATCAACACCAATCACTTTGAGAGGTTATTGTGAGGTGAAGGTCATATCAACATCAAACACTAATCATGGATTACAAACAAATACCAGGTTTGTTGACAACTAGGGTGACGGACCTATGGACATGCAGGTCATTTAATACAAAGTACTCTCATTATTGATATTTCCAGTGAGTCTATAATGGTCTTAAAATTAGGTTAAATGAACATATTTTGGCCCATATGTATGCATTACATGCACGATGTTTTGAATGAGTTAAATGTGGACCTTAATCCATTCTTTTGTTTAATCTGATTTTAGAGCAGTTTTGTATTTTAATTTAACTGATGTATCCCATTTAATGTTTCCCACTTGCAATCCCTGAGTAGTACGCATTTTATGTGTGACAAAGACTTCCCTTTCTTTAGCATGTGTAATGTTGATGAGATGTCATCTGTATTTAATCAAAGCGGTGTAAATGTTTGAGTGGGCAAATTAGTCAAATATTACTAATAGTAAGCAAATAACTAACGTTGGTGAAGGTGATGGGACAAACTATTACTTCCGAGGCGATCTGGATGTTAGCTATCTTTCCGAAGCAAAGCTGAGGAAAGATAGCGTATACATTCTGATCGACGAGGAAGTGATAGTTTGCCATCGCCTGAAACCAAAAGGTGATTATATTTTGCTTTATATTCCACATCTAAAACAATTTAACTACAAAAAGAAAAGGACGTGTATGCATCTACATGAAAGACACCAGGCCCGAATTCACACCTTTAATTCACACCTCACAGCTTTAATTGCGCTCATTGGTAATGCGCGCTTAATTACGCCTGTTTTAGTGCACTTTTGGATAATCTTCAGTGAAAGTGTGTTGCCCTGTGTAGATAGTACCTCTATCTTCAGTGAAAGTGCGTTGCACTGTGTAGAAACACAGTGTAACAAACTTTTTGCTTCTCCCATAAATAATGGGCGAACTATCTTTTATCACGTGATTTACTTTTGACCAATCGTAGAGCAAGATTCTTGTGGAATATAATGCCTTATATCATGTAAGATAGATTTTTCTGTAAGTTCTCCGCTTGCTTCAGATTTCTCTGTACAGGCTTTATACTTGTGTTTACTTCAAGGAATTTGAGGTAGGCCTACTTGTATTTGAGAAACACAGATTTGGTTTGTTCACATTTTTCCGTAGTAATCTGAGATATTGATGAGACATATTGCATGTTCTTACAGTGAAAGATATATATGGAATATTATTCTATTAATAGATACACACAGTATAGAGCATCAATCAGGGTGACTTAACCAAGACTAATTGCTGAGATTAGGAAAGCCAATACTTTAATTCTATTCAAGATGTCTTTGAAATGATCCATTAGACATGATGCATGCCTTTCCTGTGGCATTTTGATTGAGGTAATTTTAGTGGAGCTCATCTAATTCATCATAGGGGATCAGTGTACAATTGGTGCACCCTATAATAGCACAGAATAGCAAGCCTGTGCCTAAATAGTCGTACAAAGCAAGTCTGGGATTCCCAGCAAATGTCTTCCAAGAAAATATGGATCAGAAATCAATTAGTTGTGTAGAAATGTAAAGGATTATAATTTCCTTTTGAGTAAGCTTTAAGGGAATACATGAAGTATTTGTATTGTCAGTTTTGTTTTAATATCATTTATAATGACAACAAATGACGGATGGATGTGATTTATTCAATTTTATTGACAGAATTATGTTCAAAATGAAAATAAATATTTCTGTATTTATAATACAAAGCAGCCCATATCTTATTAACACATTAGATTAGCTTTGGTTTTATATATATACAAGGTGCCTTCAATAAAAGGATTTACATAGTAGTGTGTGAGTTACTCAAGAAACGGGAGTGAGAAAAGCAGAATAAAGTAACTACCTTTAACCTATGTCATTGCGGTTCATACAAGACTTTTGTCTGAATTCATAAAGGTGGTTTAGCCATATATTACCAAATTACTATGGGTAGCCAAAAGAAAGAGAGAAAAAATATAACAAATGAGATCGTTTATGAAAAATAAATGCAAAAAAAATGTGTTTATTTTTGTTGCCTGAATTATGATCATTTCTTTTTGCGGTTATTTTAGAAATCCAAAATAAATTTGTGGTTCAGACCAAGGTTTATATTCAAACTATTTTTGTGAATTTGCAAATTATGGCACATTTCAATTTCAGTCTCTTCTAGAAGTTTAAGATACACTATCAAAATCAATTTACAAAACTCAAGGCAGTCTTACATGTACAGCATAACGGTGATATTTTGACCATAGAAAGAATAAATGACACACGGTCTATCCAAACTTTTCTCCAAAGTAATACTGGCTGCAAGATGATGAAACAGGTACTGCATGTCGTGCGATTCAGAGTTGAAAATGGCACATCTTACAATAAGTTTCTATACACATATATTTACCAAAGTCATGTTCATATTCCTACTTCAAACACCACAGACAAAATATGACCTGGCACAAACCTTTTTCCTATCTCACCAATGAATGTTTTGAAATACACTCTGCACTATTCAAACACACAGGTTAGTGTTGTGAATGAGATGTTTAGTGTCATATAATCCAAGTTTCAACACTAATTTAATGTTTTAAGAATAGTATAATTTTACTGGCATCTTCAAATTTCCAGGAGCTAACTAAAGGTGTTTTAAAACATCAACCTGTTTACCTATATCCAGGTGTATACAGATACAAGACATAGGATATGCAATGTATCAGTGCTCCATGTTTGGAATGAACAGGTGGAATTGGAGTGAATCTTTACTCATACACTGATCATTTGAAATCCTCTTACAATTATCCCACAGAAAATGATCCGCTAACATTCAGACTGTCCCTATTTTAAAAGTTTCATCTTCACTGTTCAAATGAGTCTCTTCATCTTCTCTCTGTCATCATCTCCTTGCTTCCCTCTGGTTGAATTTCAGCTGTACGGTTGGACCTCCGTTGACAGTGGGGGCGCTATGACTATCCACATTGTTCCTCTGTGTATAGTACTTGCTCATCTCTGAGCTAGCTCGTCTTTCACCTTTACCGCTCTCTCCTTTGCTTCCTTTAGCTGACTTCTCTCTTCTCTGAAATCATACAAAAATAATTTATTGAAATGATTATGTCACTTTTTTTACTTGAAGGCATTGTATACCATTTGTTCTTCATCAAAGACCCAAAATACAAAGCTCAGCAATTCAGTTTAGGATTGATTGATTGATCATATAATCAACTGTACGTGTCGTAACTCTGTGTTAAAGGACATAAGTTAGCACCCTTTCGGCTCCAAACTGACGATATGATCTACCGGTATTGCAAATTAACAATCAATCACCAACTCATCTTTATGTTACGAAGCCCTGTTTATACACATCAAAATTGTTTTGAGTAATTGATCTCCTTTAACCCATTGAGTCTGAGATTTTATTCCAATAGGCTTTGTAACAGGACAAACCCAGTTCCCGTAGGGTTAAGATATAACGTTAGTGTCTGTGAAATTTTGCTGATGACAGGAGCAAAACTATTTCTGTGAGATATCGTTTATGCAATGATTTACTCATGCTCCTCGCATTTTAGATGTTCATTACCAGCTCCATTTTGCATGCTGGTATATTCATAACCTAACAACAAATTGCAAACTTCATTAAAATAAAAACCCTTGTGAAAATGCTAGCTAGCTGATACAATGAATGGGAAATGTAGCTTAGTTTTCATACCCTGAATTGGTTGAGTGTTGATATATTAGCTGCTGGTTTAGGTGTGATCAAAGACGAGAGTTTGTAGTAATCTAGAAACGTCTTGACCAGGTTCCTTCCTAGCTTCATGTCTGAATCATATCGTCAAGGAAACAATGCACATTAATAGAAAACAATGTGAACAACATAATGTGAAAATCTTAAACCATGTCAGAAACACAGCTGTAATTAACAGTATCGTCAACAGCAATGTTGTTCTGATCATCTTTCCCAACTTTTTTCTATTGTGAAGAAATCTCTTCAAATGAGGGGAACCCCCCCCCCCCAAAAAAAAGAGCGAATAAAAATAATTAGAACAACAACTGCCACGATAACAATTTGCTCAAATTCAATCACATTCAATCACATTCAATTCAGCAGCTCACATCAATTATTGTCATTTGTTATCGACAACATCTTTGTTGGGTAATAATATGATTGCAAGGTCCTCAGGGAGAACAATATAAATACTAATAAGGCTACCCTGGGTTAACAACACACATTGTTGTTGTTGGTGGTGTTGTTGTTGTTGTTGTTATCATTCTTGATAAAGATGTTAAACAAACGCTCATAGAAAAAATAAATAAACTGAAACTTGCAGTATAGTGTATCTAAACAATTCAGTATTTTCCATAGGGGGAAATGTTGCACACAGTGTTTGGTGTCTCAGTTTTGTTGCTATATGCCACACGTTGAAATAGTTATATGTCATGGCGATATCTATATACATATAAATTTGTAATTGAATTACATACCATATCAATAGATAACACACAGTAAAGGCTGCCTTTCCAAATACAATATATGATCTATCCAAGTCCAATCTATTTTCTTTTTTCTACATTTTCCATTTCTCTACTGTCTCCCACTAAACACAAAAGAGTAGAAACACTTATATATGCTGCTTATATAATTATGTTGCTATTATTACTGGCTTGGTTGTATCATAATAGGATATTGATTGCATTTGTATTTACATAGCATGTAATTATGAGTGATAATTCATTGTGAAATTGACAAAGGGATTAAAACTGTATTCCATCTCTGAAATGGATTACAGTAATTACAGATGAATAATTAATTTTCATTTAAAATTGACTAGACACATGGGTATTGTATATCTTATCTTTTCTCTTTATTTCAACCTATCTTTCCAACTTTCTTTCTCTCCCTATCATTATCCATCTATCTGTTTGCTATCTCTCCATCTCTCTCTCTCTCTCTCTCTCTCTCTCTTTTCTCTCTCTCTCTTTCTCACAATCCTGATCCGTATCTCTTTCAAACTACCGGTACCTGTTTCCTTATCTCTCTATTGCTATCTTTCTCTCATTCATTGTCTCCCTCTCTATTTCTTTCTCTCTGTCTATCTATCTCTCTCTTGCCCTCTCTATTTCTTTGTCTCTCTCATACACTGAGATACACACAAACCACACATGCTCAAAAAATGCAAGAATAACTGACAAGTATCAATTACCTAATTGGACTTGCAAAAAACAATAGAGCTTGCTCAATATTGCATGTCCAGTTGTATGGAGCTACTTTATGAGTAATTTCATTGGGTAAATGATTCCTGAGTAATTGTTGTGTCTCATCATCATCATCATCTCTCGCTGTGGGTCGTCATCAAGGACACACTGCTATCTGTTAATATTTCTACCTATATAATAATGGCAGCATGACTGACGAGACAGCTAGCTCATGGGGAAAACTCTTTGTTTACATTATGTCTGGGTGAACGCACTTTTCACACCAGCCATCTATCTGTTTGTTTTGTTTTGCACAGATGGAGATGATATATACTGTAAAGTACAAGCATCATTGGTAGCCTGGGGGTTAATTCTCCTAAAAGACAAATTTTATAAAGAAAAAGATTACCTATTTTTCTTTCTGGAACTGGCAAGCAACACTGTTGTAATGGAGAAACAATTTGATTTTACATCTTCACAAATTTGATTTATTTTTACACATTTTTTCTATATATCTGTAAAGCGCTTAGGCACATCGTCGGATGGATGTATTGAGCGCTATATAAACACGGAATATTATTATTATTATTATTATTATGTATAATGCTCCGGTTGATATTAATCATGAATTAAGTTATGATTCATCCAAATCGTAACTTGATTTACTTAATCTATCATAAACTACATCCACATATCCACACTTTCGACAGCATTGGCAATGATATTAATGTACATAAGTTAAGTTGGAATCGACTTGAATCAATTGAAACTATTTAAAAGATAAAGCCCAGATCATAAAACAAAGTGAGAGACATAGTAAAAGGATACAACCATCTTCATCATATGGGACTACAGTAGATGATGAGTTGGGTGTGTAGCAGAAGAAGGACACTTCTAGAGTGTAGCACAGAGAATTCTCATCCAGGATTCCACCAAGGAAACGACGTCCGGTTCCTGCCTTCACGGAATCACGGTTGAATGATGTATTCATCTGAGAAAAAAAAGGTATTTTAATGAAACAAGAAAATGATTTAACATTCTAAATGTTAGGTATTCATAAAAGTGTGAATAAAGTCACGTCTATCTCAATAAAATATGCATGGATGCTGTTCACAATCTCATCAAAGGTCTAAAAGAATTTTTAAAATTATAGAATCATACAAAACATCAATATGAATTGAGGAAGTTATATTGGATCAAATATGAAATGAGGAAGTTATATTGGATCAAGAAAAAAAAGTTAATAATTAGGAAAATGTAAACAAAGAATGTAAACAAAGCATGAAAGAAACAGGGATGAAATATAGAGAGGAAAAATCAAAGAGATTTGCAAAGTAGATCAACGTTCTGGAGCTTTGGGAAGAAGATAAAATGCTATACTGTAATGTAGACTGAAAAAGTGTACTTAAATAGCCGAGTATACAGGGTGAGGTGAAACGATTCAAGATTGATATGATATATTTAAATATTACAGGACCTGGAAAACATAAAGAAAGATTCAAATATTGATTTTAAAAAAGGTAGAGGAAGAAACTCCATTACTCCATTAATGTCAAAGGGAACATAAAGGAGTTTCATCAAATCAATAGAGCATTCTAAGATGGTGAAAAGAAAAGACAGATGGGGAGGGGTGGATGGCAGGGTGAAAGAGGGTGGGAGAGAGGGAGAGAGGGAGAGAGGGAGAGAGAGAGAGAGAGAGAGGGAGAGAGAGAGAGAGAGAAAGAGAGGGAGAGAGAGGGAGAGAGAGAGGAGAGAGAGAGAGAGAGAGAGAGAGGGAGAGAGAGAGAGGGGGAGAGAGAGAGAGAGAGAGAGAGAGAAAGAGAGAGAGAAAGAGAGAGATTGAGAAGGGGAGATAGGGTAGGGAAGTGAAGATCAGAGTGGGAGGGAGAGATAGGGGTAGGGAAGTGAAGATCAGAGTGGAAGGGAGAGATAGGGGTAGGGAAGGTAGGAGAAGTAGGAAAGAGGAAAGGTAGGAGAGAGGAAGAAGTAGAGAAAGAGAGAGATACAGATACAGAGGGAAAGATACAGGAGAGACAGAGACAGAGACAGAGACAGAGAGACAGAGAGAGAGAGAGAGAGAGAGATATTGAGGGTAGAGATCATAGAAGCAATGCCAGAATAAGGCAAGTAAAGGAGTGCTCCTCTGACCATGCATAGACAAGATGGACACAGAATCAGAACCTACGGCAGGTGAGACAAAACATCAACAGTTCCGACACACGCAAAATCAATGTTTGCCGGCAACCTGATAGCCCAGCCCACACTAAAATTGGGGCGCGTGAGGCCGGGAGGTGAATCCAAATTGGCATCACCTTACCGGCAATTAGCCCGCTACGCCTCCCAAAATACGACCAGGGAAGATGCGCTACCCTAGGCCAGGTTACTAGACATGAGTTTATGGTGGAAAGGAATTGAAGGAGTGTATCCCTACCAAAATAGGTATCATCCATCCATAGCGGTATCTATGATGCCTCGGTTTGATCTCATTTGGGTCCGTTAACCCTGTTAACCTAGAGCCATACCAGGGAGGAGGGGGGGGGGGGCAGAGAGGGCACATATAGACAAATATGTTGAGTGAGGGTGTATGTTTCACACCCCAGGGCTGGTAGAAGGGGTGCGTAGTATGATGAAGTAAGAGGGCTTGGATGCAAGTAGAGTGGGAGGCATAGTACTTTGACTAGGTCTCAATCGATGACCAACCATATTTGGTTTGAGATTCATGTTTCAATGAAAGTGAGGAATAATAGCAAGATATCAGCCTTTGGCATGAAAGATCCAGCTCTATACGTAATGCAGAAACGATATTGGACAATTTGAGACACAATGCTACTGCACTCTCCTCCTCTACCACATTAAATGCCATGAGATATTCAGCCAGATTTAACACACTCGCTCATTCCCTCTTTCAAAGCTTTAATCTGGTTTTTATTTCATTTCATTTCATTCTACTGATCAGAGGAATCTGGTTCAAAGGCTTAAAGAAATCCATTAATTAGTTTTGTTTAATTATTCTAGAGTTAATCATAGTTCAATCCGAGATCCATCTCAGATTAAGCTACATGTAAGAAAATCTCTCACATAATCTTAACATGCCCTCATTTGGATACCTAACATGCATTTCGAATGGAAGCCTTGATATGAAACCACTTCATAAATTTGTTTTAACAATCAAGAAATACATGAAATTACATGAATGCATTTACTTCACATGACCTGTACACTAACTATTTAAATACAAAATACAAGAATGTATGACTGTAACATTCATTACAAGGCAAACAATTATTTGAATTCATAATTAAGAGCTTTCAGTATAATGATAATGATAATAGCCTAATAGTCCACTCCAAATTTTATTAAACCGAAACGGAAATTCTTTTTGCCCAATTGATCGTGAGCCCGGCAGCCACTGAGCAGCGCCAGATCGACGTTGCTCTATCCTTTATTGTTGAACGCCAAACAAGGTAGCAACAACTCCCATCTTTTAACGTCTTTTGGTATGACGCGGCCGGGGTTCGAACCCACGACCTCCCGGTTGTGAGGCGGACGCTCTACTGACTGAGCCAACACTCCGGTACGAGCATGAGGTAGCAATTTGTAAAAAATCTGTAAGAACTGGTAAAATGTTGCAGAGTACTTGGAAGTAGTTCCAGTATAAACTGGTTTAAAACATCGCTAATTATCGCTATCGATACATTTTCAAATGGAATTTGTTTTTAAAGAGTTTACGGTGGATTACACAAACTGTAATAAGATCACAGTCAGAATCATTCAGCCCTTTCTCCCTCTCTTTCATCTAAAACAAATGGATAGATGTGAACCAATTTCAAGGCCTCTGCGTACTATTCTATCTTGCTGGAAATCACCCACACAACATGAAGCACTACAAAAGCAACAGGATTTCAGAAAGTCACCTTAAGAAAAGAAGAGATGAAAAGAGAAAGTTTGTTGAGAAAGAATGAGTCATGAAAGTAATGTGACGTTAATGAGTTTACTTCCATGCAACAGGGGGGTCTGGTGATTAATCCATGCGAGCCATCTCACCACTACGTTTTAATCAACAACATACGCGCCAACTTTTCTTCTAAGACAAACAAAAAGGAGAAGGAGAAAAAAATGTGAGAATCTAGATGAGATGGAGAGGTAGATTCTAGCATCGGCACTCACTTTAGGAAATTTACACCTCAGCGAACAAACCACCTTCTACTTGAATCTTATGAGTCATCATAAGGAAAGGTAAACTTTTCATGAATTATGCAATAAGATGGAAAAGCTTTGAAATGAGTGAGCACCATAGCTATCTGTCATCATCGTCATCTGAAGGGGGTACTTTGAAGGTAAGATCTTCACCTACCATCAATACTATGTAATACTTGGAATGCATCAAGGATTGCTAGACTCGCATGAGGTGTACATTTATGCTCGAATAGACACGACCTTAAACTTTTGGCTATGACTGTAAGAGGGACGGGAGCTATGACTGTGAGGGGGACGGGAGCTAACGCAACCAGACGTACAAATCACATCCAATGAGTCAAACTGATCTCAGCCGTGACGTCGATCAGTATGCCTCTCATGAATATTCATAAGGATCGACCGGTGGCGGCGGCCGGTGTGCCAGGCCGAGGATAGCCCTCAGGATGCATAGTGAAGGAAGCACTGAATCCTAATTAGCCATTGCTAAATGCGGCCCACGCAAGACCCCTCCATAACCTTGGACCCATCTCTTCATCCATACTCAAATCAAACTTCTATATCTCCATAAAGACCCTTTTTCTACTCTCTTCAATTTTTTTTCTCTACAATGGTTTTTAATTCTTGGTGTTGAAGTCTATATGTCTCATGACATCACTTTTCTCTCTTTCGTAGTCACTAGATTCACATAAGTATATTCTTTAAAGTAAACTGAATATTCTTCATTTCTTTTCCTCTTTACCTGTCTGTTAAAAAATCTTCTGTTCATGTGAGATGCCTTCTCCTGCATCAGACTGGGTCAAAGTATGTACTATTCAATCAAACTCTAAAATCAAACTTTTTCTCCATCACAATGTTTTTTGTTGTTACCTTGTTTTTTTCTTCCCTCTCTCTCTATATTTTCTTTTCCAGAATAGTACAAGCCCCTTCTTTCTCCCCCTCCCCTCGATGTGTCTCCTCTCTCTAACTCTCTCTCTCTCTCTCTCTCTCTCTTTCTTTCTCTCTCTCTCTCTCTCTCTCTCTCTTTCTTTCTCTCTCCCTCTCTCTCTCCCTCCATCCCTCCCCTCGCTGTCTCCTCTCTCTCTCTCTCTCTCTCTCTCTCTCCCTCCCTCCATCCCTCTCCCTCCTTCTCTCTCTCTCCCTACCCCCAATGATTCTATTCTCCCAATCTCCAATCTCTGTTGATTGTATCCACCTGACTGGTTCTTGTTCTATTCCTGTAATCTGATTTGTTTCTCTTAATCAACTCATGCCTTCATCATGCTCCCCACCGCCCCGCCGCCCAGCCAGCGCTGAGCGTACAAATGTCAAGGTCATATACTCACAAACTCTACAGGTGATTATTCCTTCACTACATCTTGAAATAAAACTTTCAAATCTCTTATTCTTATCTCACAGCTTAAGCATCCTTCTTCAACCCTTCCTGAGCTTCCATACTATAACACTACAGATTATCTTTGTAAGAATAAAATATATCAGAGGCATGTATGGCCACAATGGCAAAGGACTTTCAAAGAAACTTGATTCTTAGAGTGTTGCAAGGTTAGAAAAAACTTTCATAAAATTTGCCTTAAAAATCTTTTTATAAGACTTTGAAATGTTTATAGTAAAATAATTGTTTCAGGTATGCAAATCTGTACTCACCTCACCGAACATGCAACATGATTGAAACAATATCTGTTTTCAACAAGGTGTGTGGTTTTGTGTCATTTTGAAGCACACACAATTATGATGGAAAACTTCCATGAACATTTGAATATGCTTTCTGCTCTAAATACATCTCCCTCCACCCCCCCCCCCCCCCCCCCCCCCTCCCCCCCCCCCCCCCCCCCTTCCCCCTTCCTCCTCTTCCCTTCCTAACTACAGAATGAAAAGAAAGAAAAAATGCCTCAAATGCAAAAAAATATTATTGGTTTAGCATCAGAGTGAATTATAAGACAGGACACATTTTTTAAATCTGCTTTGTGCTTAAAAACATTCAAAACTGTGTGTGTTAATGGTGAAATAATGAGAAAAATTGAGAAAAACCCATAGGAAATGTACATAAAAGGAAAACATAATCATCTCCATCGAGTAAAGGGACCATTGCAAATGACTACAATTTCAAATCAAGCATACATTTGTATAGAGCTTACCATTGAAAAGTCGTCAGCGTTGGAGCACATTAGTTTAGGAAAGACGGCCTGTTTCTCGTATCTTACTGGATCATCATAAACATTGCCATACATAAAACCATTCATCAACGTAGAGTGAGCATGGATGTCAACGTAGAAATCAACCACTATATTCTGTATTGAAAGATAAAAACAGAGTACAAACGTCAGTACTATATATCCATTAAAAGAAAACATTTAATTGATCTTTGGATTAAGAATAGCATCTTTCTATAATAATAATATTGTAACGAAATCGTTATTTACATTACCTAGCCTTTAGAGGGCGTTAGTTATTGTAATTGTTTATTGTTATTGTAGATGTCGCTATGGTTACGTCGCGCACTGCGATGCGCGTACGTGGGGTTAATCTTGTGGGCAGTTTGTGTTGAGCTGCCGTAGAAGGAAGTTGTGCCTTAATTTGTTTGGAAGTTCAGATTATTAAAGTTCTTGGAAACATTACTTGATCTGTAAGTGCATATTATTTCCTGTGTTGGTAACTTAATTTAGTTAAGTGATTGTAAGCTGATCTGAGAGTGTCTGTTGCACAATATATTTTTGTGAGAACGTCGAGTACAGAGAAAGAGCGGGTTCTGACTGAAGAAGTGACGCTACCCAGAGAGTGAGAGACCCGTTTTCGTTACATTGGTGGCTAGCGGCGGGATTAAAACAGACACGAGACACGGTACTCGATCAGCATACGGCAGAGCTGATTATCAAAAATAAGGTTAATCGAGCATTAGCTCGACACGGCAACTCCTCACCGGCTTCAACACGGTGGTCTATAGCACCTCCCTGCTTCAACACACGTCTATATAGCACCTCACCGCTACAACACGGCGGTCTATAGCGCCTCACCGCTTCAACACAGCGTTCTATAGCACCTCACCGCTACAACATGTACACGGCAGTCTATAGCACCTCACTGCTTCAACACAGCGCTCTATAGCACCTCACCGCTACAACACGGCAGTCTATAGCACCTCACTGCTTCAACACAGCGCTCTATAGCACCTCACTGCTACAACACAGCGCTCTATAGCACCTCACCGCTACAACACGGCGGTCTATAGCGCCTCACCGCTTCAACACAGCGTTCTATAGCACCTCACCGCTACAACACGGCAGTCTATAGCACCTCACTGCTACAACACAGCGCTCTATAGCACCTCACCGCTACAACACGGCGGTCTATAGCACCTCACTGCTTCAACACGGTGGTCTATAGCGCCTCACCGCTACAACACATCGCTCTATAGCACCTCACTCCTACGACATAGGGCTGATAGCGCCTCATCGCTTCAACACATCACTCTGTGGCGCCTCCACACAACAACGACGCAGAAAGCATCAGTGTTTGGAAAAAACATTGTGGTATGGCTTCTCAGAGACTGACTATAGAGGACGAGGTAGAAGTCCTTGCAGCAGAAGTGCAGCGAGGCGACGAAGATCTACGTCGGTCCAAGACAGAGATTCAGTCACTATTAGAACAGAATCAGCTTCTCAGACTGCAGGTAAGAAGGCTGCATATCGATCAGTCTCCTGTAAGTTTCCCTAACCAGTCCCAGAGTGGAACACCACCCACTGCTGGTAGACGGGAACATGAGTCAACGGAGACTCATGCGACCACAATGAATGATAACTTGCTGGTCAATCCCAAGGGACCTGAATCACCAATGCATGGATGCCTAGAGGATCAAACGCAAGTGAAGGTGGCACACGAGCAGACTGCAGCTGCTGAGGCGAAGGGACTTCATGCTGCACAGTGGTCTCCAAGTAAAACATCAACAGCCGTTCGTCGGGCAGATGGGCTACGAACGGGCTTCTTACATAGGCAAGATTTGGATGCTTCAGATGTTCTTGCATCAATTCCTCACTACCAGCGACACAGGAGCGAAGTTCAAGGGGTACGGTCACCTGTTACACTGTCTAAGCCAAATGTTTCGCCCGACAAATTCGATGGGAGGACACCTTGGAGGGATTACCTCAGCCATTTTGAAGCCTGCAAGGTCGCCAATAACTGGGGTGATGACCAGGCAAAGGTTTTCCTAGCAGCAAGTCTGAGGGGATCAGCACTGAAGATCTTGGGCAGCAAGGCAGCTGACACTTCTCGGATCGCATACCAAGACCTGGTAGTTCTTCTAGAGAAGAGATTTGGCCCAGGCCAGTTGGCAGAGAACTTCCTCCTTGAACTGCGTTACAGACGCCAAGGGCCCAGAGAGACGCTCCAGGAACTCGGTCAGGCCATACGGGAGTTATCCATGTTGGCATACCCGGAACTTACTGAAGAAGCCCAGGATCAGTTGGCAAGGACACACTTTGCAGAGGCGATTGAGGACCAATCCATCAGGGAAGGGGTCTTTCGATCTAAGCCAACAACTATGGATGAAGCCATCCAGGCGGCCTTGGCAACTGATAATTTTTTCAGACTCGAAGAACAACGGTCTGGCAGGAGGCAGAAGCAGGCAAGGGCCGTTGACACTGATTCAGCAGCTACGATCAATGAAATCTGGAGAGAGCTGAAGAGAATAGATGAGAGAATCGCCAAACAGGAACGACCCATCAAGTCAGAAGAATTCAGACGGGAGAGACCCAATTCGTACAGGCGGAGAACACCAACAGCCACAGATGAATGCTATGAGTGTCATGAGAAGGGGCATTTTAGGCGTAACTGCCCTCACGCAAGAGAATACAGGAGGCCTTCGGGAAACGGGGCTCAGCCAACCCAGAGGCCCGAGGGGAGGCTGGACGGACACCAGGGCATGTAACTGACACACCTCCATCTCCTCGAGAATATCCTTCAAGGAATTACATATCTGATAAAGCACGACGTGGTCTATTTGCTGAAGTGGAGATAAGGGGAATCAAAGCAAGGTTGTTGGTAGATTCAGGTGCCACCGATACCATTTTATCTTCATCCGTGTACTATCGGATACATTCAACTAATAGGCCAGACTTGACAGAAGTGGGAGTTCGCAATGCAGATGGCAGTAGCATGGAAACGCTAGGTAGTGCATGGTTGGAGCTTGGTGTAGGAACATGCATCTTTCCACTAGAAGTAGTCTTCGGCAATACCGACCAGGTAGACGGGCTACTTGGGCTGGACTTTATGGAACCAAATGGGTGTATTATTGATCTGAAGACAAAGGAACTGCGGCTCAAGGGAGAGAGAATCAAATGTACGGATGCACGAGGAGTTTCATTTAGCTCCAGAGTATTGATAGGGGCAACTACAAGGGTGCCACCAGGTCATGAGGTTATTGTTCCAGGCTACACGACAGGGCTGCAAGATGGGACAGGTCTAGGTCTCATTGAACCTGCGGAGAGTAGCGAGCTCCTGAACAAAGGCATCATCGTTGCACGGGTAGTTGTAGAAAGGACGGAAACAACCCTCCCTGTTCGAGTCTTCAACCCAGGAAAGAAGGCATGCGTAATTCGCAGAGGTACACTTGCCGGCCATCTAACACCCATCAGCGGGGAGGACATTGAAGAAATTCCAGGCCAACCTTTACCAACAACCGATAATCATACAGTCCCAGACCATCTCGTAGATCTCTTTGAAAGAAGCAAGAGAGGGATAGACAAGGTCTTCCATGACAGAATTGCCAAGCTACTGTGCGAGAACCAAGACATTTTCGCAATTTCGGACTCAGACATTGGAAAGACTGGCCTTGTCAAACATCACATCAACACAGGGGATAGTCTTCCAATCAGACAAAGGCCCCGTAGGTTTCCACCCAAGGAGCAGGAAGAGATTGATCGTCAAATCCAAGACATGCTTGAACATGACAGAATAGAGCCCTCAGACAGCCCTTGGTCATCCAATGTTGTTCTCGTAAAGAAAAAAAACGGGTCAAAAAGGTTTTGCGTGGATTATCGTCGTCTGAATCACTTGACAATCAAGGACAGCTACCCAATACCTCGCATTGATGATTCACTGGACGCACTTGGAGGTGCAAAATGGTTTTCTACTTTGGACCTGGCCTCAGGATATTGGCAGGTCGAGCTAGATGAAGAAGCCAAAAAGAAATCAGCTTTCGCTGTTCGAGGAGGGCTATACAGCTGGAAAGTGATGCCCTTCGGGCTATGCAACGCCCCATCCACCTTTGAGAGGCTGATGGAGCAGGTCCTGTCCGGACTGCATTGGGAAGTACTCTTGGTTTACTTGGACGATGTCATTGTATTCGCCAAAACAATCGACGAAGAACTGACTAGACTGGGGATGGTCTTCCAACGTCTTCGGAACGCAGGATTGAAGCTCAAAGCAAAGAAATGTCACCTATTTCGGGAGAGTGTCTTGTATCTGGGACATGTAGTGTCCAGGGAAGGAGTGTCCACAGACCCAGAAAAGATAAGAGCTGTCAAGGAGTGGCCAACCCCTACTAGTGTAAAGGACGTCCAGAGTTTCTTAGGACTGGCCTCGTACTATAGGAGGTTTATTGAAGGATTTGCCAATATCGCCCGGCCACTACATCGGCTAACTGAGAAAGCCCACACCTTCGTATGGACTGAGGAATGTGTAGATGCCTTCCAGGAACTCAAGAAGCGGCTGTACCAATCGCCTATCTTAGCATACCCAGACCCAGAACAGGATTATATCCTGGATACGGATGCTAGTAATGAGGGGATAGGGGCTGTCCTATCTCAAGTGGTAGATGGAAAGGAACGAGTCATATCATATGCTAGCAGAGCTCTGAACAAAGCAGAGAAGAACTATTGCGTTACCAGAAAGGAGTTGCTCGCCGTCGTAGAATTTTTGAAGAAATTCCGACAGTACTTGTATGGGCAGAAGACTACGGTCAGGACGGACCACGGAGCATTGCGATGGCTTCTGAATTTCAAAGATCCGCAAGGGCAGATGGCCCGCTGGCTTCAAGTGATAGCTGAGTATGATATCGAAATCATACACCGAGCTGGTCGCTCGCATGCCAATGCAGATAGTTTGTCAAGACGGCCTTGTCCCCAGTGTAAACGGGATGTTGAGGAGTCTGCAGGCTTCGAAGTCCAAGCAGGACCTAGAAATGGCCGTGCAGAGGTAAATGCGGTTACCCTAGCACCAAGTATCACCAATGCACACCTGAACCAAGAACAAACTGAAGATTCATCAATCAAGTGGATCTTGAACGGCAAACAACAATCAAAAGACAGGCCTGAATGGTCTTCAATGGCATCAAAGTCTAGTGTCGAAAAGTCTTACTGGAGAATGTGGGATCAACTAGCTGTCAAGCAAGGAGTTCTTCACCGAAAGTGGGAATGTGATCAAGGTCAGAAGATCACTTGGCATGTTGTCCTCCCAACCAAACTTCGGTCAGAAGTCGTGAAAGAGTTGCATGGTGGGAAGTCCAGCGGACATCTAGGGATGAACAAAACCATAGCCAAAGTTCGCATGAGATTCTACTGGTACGGAATGGATGCAGACATACGGTCCGTAGTTCGACAGTGCAACGTCTGTGCCTCCAAGAAGTCACCAGCTAAGAAACGGAGGGCCCCCTTGCAACAAGATACGGTAGGAATGCCGATGGAGCGTGTCGCCATGGACGTAGTTGGACCGCTACCCGAGACGGAGAGAGGGAACAAGTACATTCTGGTTGTAGGGGACTATTTTAGCAAGTGGATGGAGGCCTACCCAATACCAGATCAAACCGCTGTAACGGTTGCAGACAAGTTTGTAAACGAGTTTGTTTGTAGGTTTGGTGTTCCTGAAGTATTGCATTCGGATCAGGGCCGGAATTTCGAGTCTCGCGTCTTTAAGGAAATGTGCGGCATCCTTGGCATTCACAAGACACGCACCACCCCATACAACCCAAAGTCCGATGGACTCATTGAACGGTTTAATGGCACTCTGCTCAACATGATCTCAATGATGATTGAACCCCATAAGCGACAACGAGATTGGGACGAGAAGTTGGCGATCGCAGTGTTTGCCTACCGTAGTGCTCCCCAAGACTCCACAAGGGAGACACCTAATATGCTGATGTTAGGGCGGGAAGTGCATTTGCCAATAGACCTGACCACAGAGGCTCTAGAGGACCCCGAGGAGCATGATGTTGAGACAGACTACGGATACACCTTGAGGCAACGCATGCGGGAAGCTCACGAAAGGGCCCGTAAGAACTGCACTGAAAGTGCTAGGCGGCAGAAAAAGGATTATGACTCCAAGGCAGGGGGTAGTCCTTTGGCAGTGGGCGACTTTGTGTGGCTCTACAACAAGGCAAAGACCAAAGGCTTGTCCCCGAAGCTCCAGAGGAGGTGGGAGGGCCCTTACTTGTTAATTCGGCAATTGTCAGATGTTACTTGCCGAATACAGGCGAAGAGAAATGGAAAGATGAAGGTGGTCCATGTTGACAGGTTGAAGCCGTACAAGGGGGAACCTCTTCAATCCTGGTTAGAAGCAAGTGAAAGCAGGGACGCTCACGGAAATGAGCAGGAGGCTCCTAGCCAACTGACACAGCATATGGACATCGAGGACTTGAACAGGGAAGATTCCCAGCCTGTCACACCCCCTGTTCCGGCACCACGAAAAGTTCCGGTCCCACCCCCTAGAAGAAATCCGTCAAGGAAAAGAAACGAGCCTATCCGCTACAGTTATTAATTAGATAGTTAACCCATTGCAACTATATTATCTGTGATGAATGATAATCCAGATGATCTCGATTTTGTGTTAACCTGATGTCCTCTGTGTCGATTCTCTTACAGTAAGCCAGTATGCGACATTCCAGGGGGAACGTGAAGTGCTATTCTTGCGGTCATTACTTCTCCCACAAGAGAAGTTTGGAGAGACACATTCAAGAGAGACATCGAAGAAGGGAGGAACACAAATGCAGAGGGTGCGACAAGTCTTTTTTTAGGAAGGACAACCTGACGAGGCACGTACAGAGTCGACACGAGGGGAAGACAACAGAAGACAAGCGGCAAGACGCGCCTGTGGTAACCCCTGTAGCAGCAAGTGAGCTGAGTATTCATGCTTCGAAGGAAACACTCTCTTCAGAGAACGGGAATGCATCGAGGCCGACCGGTAAAGATCTCAGCATGCTGTTAAAGGAGAGGGAAAGTGAGACCTCGTCGGTATCGTCAGAATCAGAAGCTGAGGTGGAGGACTGCCCAACCCCAACGTTTCGGAAGATCCAGATGGGAAGGCCAATGCAGGGGTTGGATCTGCGACGCACTCTTCCGGGCACCCCTCTGCAGGTAGAAGAGAGGTCTTCCTCAACACAGTTCTCGGGGGGCAAGAAGCTCTTTCAGGAGGAAAAGTTACGAGAGTACAGCGTGGTTTTCCTGCATGGGTGTGAAAAGGAAAGTTCGCCGGCGCCTACAAAGTTGCATCACCTCGCATCGGATCAGTCGCTAGGTTCTCCGATGTCCGTACAGGAGCTGGAAAGGGCCCTGGTCGGCCGGGTTAACAGCATTACTGAAGTCACCACAAGACGATCTTTTTGTGACGGGATTCTGGTAGTGGAGGAAGAGATCAGGACCAATTACAGTATTAACTTGAAGGCTGGAGCAATCTTACCAGAAGTTTAACTCATACATGTATATCAATTCAGCTATCATTAATATTGCAATTACTTGGAAACCTGTTTTCTTGTATGTATTTTATGCTGCAATTGAAGTTCATGGCGGAACTCATTTATATTCCTCTTATAGTGATTAAATTTTCCTTACATGTAACTATTGATGTTGTTGTTGTTTTTAGTTTTCACGGCGCTATCATTGAAAATATGAATATTTACGCCAGAATGAATTCCTATGATCTATTCCACCAAAGATGATAATGCGTGTGTATATATTACTTGTACATAATTCTTACCTCATGTTTAACTGCAGGCTTATTCGAGGATAGTGGTACTGCGTACATACTGATAGTACAGGTTGAAATAGTTTAAATTTGGAAAGGACTTGATCTTTTCCCACTCTTGTTCTTGTACAATTATATGTAATTATTGCTATACGTGAAAGTATTCCAGCGGATTTTTCGGCCTTTAATTGCAAAAATGTATTTATAGATGTTGTTCGCAGGACAGAATGATTAATTGAAATAAATGTATAAAAGTTTTATCTATGTAATTTTGCCTCATTCTTGCCAAAAGCATGTATTAAGACGATTTTGTGTTTTTGGTCAGAGGACTGCCCAGACTTGGGGCGGGGTAGTGTAACGAAATCGTTATTTACATTACCTAGCCTTTAGAGGGCGTTAGTTATTGTAATTGTTTATTGTTATTGTAGATGTCGCTATGGTTACGTCGCGCACTGCGATGCGCGTACGTGGGGTTAATCTTGTGGGCAGTTTGTGTTGAGCTGCCGTAGAAGGAAGTTGTGCCTTAATTTGTTTGGAAGTTCAGATTATTAAAGTTCTTGGAAACATTACTTGATCTGTAAGTGCATATTATTTCCTGTGTTGGTAACTTAATTTAGTTAAGTGATTGTAAGCTGATCTGAGAGTGTCTGTTGCACAATATATTTTTGTGAGAACGTCGAGTACAGAGAAAGAGCGGGTTCTGACTGAAGAAGTGACGCTACCCAGAGAGTGAGAGACCCGTTTTCGTTACAATATCTTTCTAGGCAATGGATGTCAACGTAGAAATCAACCACTATATTCTGTATTGAAAGATAAAAACAGAGTACAAACGTCAGTACTATATATCCATTAAAAGAAAACATTTAATTGATCTTTGGATTAAGAATAGCATCTTTCTATAATAATAATATCTTTCTAGGCAATATACATGTACATTAGATGCATTATCATAACACCTTTTCAGAATTAAAACTTGTCTTGATTTTTCACTTTAATCTGATGACTGTTGAATTCTCGAATTCATACAGGCTTAATACAGGAACTATCTGGCTCCCATATAGGCAATGTGTTCAGATTGTTAGTGACGCTATTATGACTTCATCATAAGTCATCATTTGGGTTGACTAGAAGTCTAAGAGAAGATTTTAAAACTATTAATTCTCCCAGAAGCCACGATATCAATGTACCAGAAAGCATACAAATAGCCGGAAGCATGAATGTTTATGCTGATAAATGGGTGATATTCATGCAAGATTTTTTGCAGGTTATATTGGATAGCTTTGTACTGGAATGTCCATGTAGAGAGCTGAAATGGAAAAGGCAATTAAACCTAAACAATTTTTCAGTAAGCAAGTGATAAGAATGCAAGTTTTTTGGAAGTTTAATATTTGATGGTTCTGTAAAGTATGTATATTTAGATGGCTAAACCATAACAAGCTAGTTAACATACCGGGTTAGCATTCATATCAACTAGGAGCTGTTAACAAACCGGGTTAGCATTCATATCAACTAGTAGTTGTTAACATACCGGGTTAGCATTCATATCAACTAGGAGTTGTTAACATACCGGGTTAGCATTCATATCAACTAGTAGTTGTTAACATACCGGGTTAGCATTCATATCAACTAGTAGTTGTTAACATACCGGGTTAGCATTCATATCAACTAGGAGTTGTTAACATACCGGGTTAGCATTCATATCAACTAGGAGTTGTTAACATACCGGGTTAGCATTCATATCAACTAGGAGTTGTTAACATACCGGGTTAGCATTCATATCAACTAGTAGTTGTTAACATACCGGGTTAGCATTCATATCAACTAGTAGTTGTTAACATACCGGGTTAGCATTCATATCAACTAGGAGTTGTTAACATACCGGGTTAGCATTCATATCAACTAGGAGTTGTTAACATACCGGGTTAGCATTCATATCAACTAGTAGTTGTTAACATACCGGGTTAGCATTCATATCAACTAGTAGTTGTTAACATACCGGGTTAGCATTCATATCAACTAGGAGTTGTTAACATACCGGGTTAGCATTCATATCAACTAGTAGTTGTTAACATACCGGGTTAGCATTCATATCAACTAGGAGTTGTTAACATACCGGGTTAGCATTCATATCAACTAGTAGTTGTTAACATACCGGGTTAGCATTCATATCAACTAGTAGTTGTTAACATACCGGGTTAGCATTCATATCAACTAGGAGTTGTTAACATACCGGGTTAGCATTCATATCAACTAGTAGTTGTTAACATACCGGGTTAGCATTCATATCAACTAGGAGTTGTTAACATACCGGGTTAGCATTCATATCAACTAGTAGTTGTTAACATACCGGGTTAGCATTCATATCAACTAGTAGTTGTTAACATACCGGGTTAGCATTCATATCAACTAGGAGTTGTTAACATACCGGGTTAGCATTCATATCAACTAGTAGTTGTTAACATACCGGGTTAGCATTCATATCAACTAGGAGTTGTTAACATACCGGGTTAGCATTCATATCAACTAGTAGTTGTTAACATACCGGGTTAGCATTCATATCAACTAGGAGTTGTTAACATACCGGGTTAGCATTCATATCAACTAAGAGTTGTTAACATACCGGGTTAGCATTCATATCAACTAAGAGTTGTTAACATACCGGGTTAGCATTCATATCAACTAGGAGCTGTTAACATACCGGGTTAGCATTCATATCAACTAGGAGTTGTTAACATACCGGGTTAGCATTCATATCAACTAGGAGTTGTTTGGTAGCATGTAGAGTAGGATGAGCCCATGGAGATGGTTCATTCCAATGTCTGTTCAGATCAAAGCCCATCAATGAACATCTACAAAATAAACACAAAAATAACAAATCTAGCAATTTTTATGCAATAAAAATATTACAGTAAAAAAGCCTAAGCTAAGCTCAATCCAAAACAAACAAAAACAAAACATACAATTAAACTTATTGTAAGTGTAAAAGTGGCTTCTTACAAAGCCTTTTTTCAATGACAAATGACAAAAATCATTTACAAATCTGCTGATAACCAATCAGAAGCAAGGATTTCAGTAGCTTATAACAAAAGCTGTCATTTGTCATTGATGACAAGTTTTGTGAAACACCCCCCAGGTCCGTCAGGCATGACGCTCATGGTGCTATACATACAAATAAATGCAAATGCAATTTTTGTGACAAAAATTTATCTATACAACATTTACATATTGAACCTAAAGCATTAAACTAAGAGCATAGAATTATAGATGTACCGTACATGTGTAGTGTGCAGGCACAGACTATCATTTGACACTTTATCACAATTCCCAAAACATAGAGCAGAGCCTAGCTCTGTCAGTCTCTGTCTGGAGCAGCTTAAGTACAGAGCCTATGCATTTAACCATCAGCCTCATCTCAAAGTGCAGACACTGTTATGCACAGCGACTACCAAGGGTATGTGGCATATTACATCATTAATAAAGAGAATGTATAGAATCAGACTACAGAGGTACAAGATGAACTAAATTAATAATTTTAATGGCATTTAATTAGTCTAAAGGGGAAGGAATGTTGAAAATGCAACATCAAAAGCGTTTAATATTCAAGATGATTTCAGCACTTCTTAGAAGTTCATCACAATTTATGCCTTATGTAGTCATCCCAAGTGCTTCATAAAAGTAATTGATTGTACTGGCTGAATGTGTCTGCACTTTTCAAACATTCTTTCTCTTTCTTCCAGTCTATCTACTATCAAACCAATCAATGAGTTTTAGTTGGCATCCAACCATGTTTTAAGTACACAGATCACATTCGGTTCTCTACATACATCACAGGGTGTGGGGATAGACTTACACACCTCAACAAACTCATCTCATGAATATTTCAACAAGTTTGTCTAGTCTATAGAATACTGTAAAAAGTACAACTCCTCTCATGACTAATGTTACATGAATGAGAAGAAAAAGATGTCTGCAAGAACTACAAATGGAAAGAGTTTTCACATTGTAAGAAACTGGTCTGGAAGAGGAGTGGGATTGTGTACCATTCTCATACAATAATGATGATGATGATGATGATGATGATGATGATGATGATGATGATAATAATAATAATAATTTGTTCTTATATAGCGCTTCTCAGGACCACAGGCCCTCTCAAAGTGCTTTACAGAAAAAGAAAAAAAACTCACATGAGTAGACACTTCTGTTTCATTACAAGTTTCATTAAAATTGTTTTTCATCAAATCAATTTGCTATAGTAGTTTCAGCTAAAGAAGTTTTAAAAACATCATGCAAATTTACATTTAACAAAAGCAACGAATACAGACAGCTTTTCAACCTGCACTCATCAGACTAAATTGCAAGAACAAAAGCCAAAATCAGACAGTATAAACAGAAGCTAAACGAACAAAGCATGAACAACATAATGGGCTGTGACTCGCTGCCAGAAAGTAGACGTTATGCAAGCCATGTAATGATAAGGGGTTATAGCAATGCTAGCCAGAATAAAAGGCGAGTCAGCACAAACTCTTTCTGTCGGCTTAGAAGAGGGTCAGTGAGCTGAAAGTTACATTTACATTTATAGTTCTTGCTGCTATCTTCTTCTTCGCATTCACGTAATTTGACTTTATATACATCGGAGGGGGAGGGGGAGGGGGAGGGGGGAGTGGGAGGGGGAGGGGAAATGGGGGGGGGGGGGGGAGGGGGAGAGGGAGAGGGAGGGGTCATACTAACCTGTAGTTCCCTAGGTAGACACCATCTGGATTGAGCATAGGAACCACTTTGAACACAATGTGATCACGCAATACCTTGGCTACAGGGTGCTGGCTTAACAAGAAATCTAGCAAACCTGAAAGAAAAATCACAATTATGAGGTAAATATATGGCATGATGACCACTCTACTGATATTTCTCAGACCAACTTTGAAACAATACTTGTAGTACATTCCACAATAACAGATATTCCATTCAATTTAATTCCTTCACTTTTCATTTTAAAACAAAGTGAACGCAATAAGTATATGTGTAACATAATGACAGCATGGCAAAATACTTGAGGGCAGGATCCCCCTGTCTTTCAAAAATCTGACTGCTTTCATAATTTAGTTTTTGTCTTTGAAGTTATTTAAAAGCTATAACAGATAGTAAAACAATAAACAGAAAGAACCCATACAGTATTTACAGGTTTTTTGATGTGTGTTTGAGATTTGTCATGTAGAGCAGTGAAAGTATTAAATCTTTCATTTCTCACTGTCTTATGATTGATAGCTTAACTCCATACTTGATGACTAAGTCTAATTGCTCAGACTTCCAATCACATCCGGTATCATAAAACAATCACACCAGCACAATATTCACACGTCATGTACTTTTTTTTATTATGAACTTCATAAAAAGTTCCTAAAGTCATCTAGCTATTAAAATGACTATTGAAGGTCTTATGAGGTGACTCATCATATTTTTGTATCCTATAATATAAATAGATAGTAGCTAATTAGAACAGATGATATGAGTCAGAGAATTGATACGTTGGAATAGCCCATCACCGGTGAAACGTTACACTAATGTTACTCCTAAAGCAGAAGGTCAAATGGCAATTAGATTTATGGATGAAATACGCTCAACTTCCCTTGTTTCATGTGGTCTTTCTAATTGATTTCTAACCCATGCCAATCACAGTATGACCCCTCTATATTTATATCATTTCTTCTCACATCTACCATTCTCATCATTATATATCCTCATCTCTTTCTCACTTACATGCACACATATATCCATCCTTGCCTCATAAAAATAATCTATCAAATAAAACTATCAACCAAGCACATATTTCTAGTGGTGAAAGTTAATGAGAAATTAATAAAATTCTTTATATTTCACAGATTGTGTTTCATATGCATGTACAAATTTGCAAAAGAGGAAGATATAGAGATTTTTTAATAGATTTGACGTATGAAGAGGAAATGAAAACAGAAATAGAATGCTGAAATCAATTAATACCAATGTCAACAATCTCTTTCATTGTTCCTTTTTCTCTTTCTCTCTCAATCCCCTTACGCCCTTCCCTCTGCATCACCTCATACATATCTCTTTCTCCCCACTTTTTGTTTCATGCATTTTTCTCTCTCTCTCTCTCTCTCTCTCTTTCTCTCTCTTTCTCTCTCCCACTCCCTCCCTCCCTCCCTCCCTCTCCCTCTCTGTATCATATTTGTCTTTGTCCCTCTTCTCTATTGATAAAGTGAATGATTTTGTTCATTAAACTTTCTTTTCCTTTCTCTTTTTTTATCCAACAATGTACTATTTGCCTTATTATGATTGACACGTGTAAAGCCCTAGCATGCGCTGGATAGATGAAGAGTTTCCCGCCTATGAGCATTCTCTCCACCACAGACAGCAATGAATAATTGATTAGAAGACAATACAAGTATTAATCCTCTCACACTCTCTAGTCATATCAGCTATGTTTGCCAGATCAAGGCCATTTATGATCATCAAGAATTAACAGAAAGTGACTGCAATATTTTCCACAAAGCTTCCATCCTGTTTTTTAACTGCATGCAAGCTTTGTGTTCACCCATAATAGTCTGATAACTAACTAATTTAACCTTCACATAGAGTCGGGATACATTCACAATGTTAATACATTCAAAAGGATAATACTAGAATTTCTTTATTTATTTTTGTGTTTTGATGTTATCTGAGCACATTATTCCTCTACAAAACAACCCTAACATAGACTTTCCCAAAAGTGCATGATACAAGGGAGGGGGAGGGGGGGTCTTTGTTTTATTATGATATGTGGGCACAGAAAGTCTATCAAATATTGTTACTATGCACAGATTTTAAAAATTAAAGAATTTACTTTTATGATCCTATGACACATTTTCAAATCAATTGACCTCTTGAAAATCAAAACTTCAACATTATTCATCTTACATGAAACTTTCCAATGGTTTTATCACTTCTTAAAAGCAAATTATAAGTGCAGCCAATGCTTTTTATGCATACTTTTCAAGTATATAACATTTAAAACAAGCAATTTAATTAATACCTTGACAGACGTATGAAGCTGGTGTTTCTCCTGGATGTACTCTAGCTGTGATAACTACCACTCTCTGTTTTACATCAGGGTCCAGATTCTCTGTAATGATAAAACACAAAGAGAGGGAAAAATGCTTGTTAAAGGTCTGTGTTCGCTGAAATACCAGAACTTGTTCATCTGCTGAGAGTCTGATAGGTAAAATATTACCTCTCTGGAAAATGATACAATTTAGTAAATTTCCAGCCATCTGACAACAGACAATATGGAGAAGAAAAATAAAAGTTAATGTGTTTCTTGATATAGGATATAAAAAGAAAGTCGGATTAGGTGATAATCATCGGATAATTCATGTGAGGATATCTGATCAAAGGTTAAAATAATCACCTCCGGTATCATTCGAGTGTCTATTCTCCAAATAAAAATAAATAAAAGCAGTTCACTGATATGAAGACTGAAGTATGGTTTGGAAAAAAACTGTAGCCAACTTTATATTCATATTTGTCAACCAGTAAAAGAAAGTATTAGCAATGATAAAGATGGGGTAATAATATCCAAAGTCCTTCAGAAGTGCACAGAGACGTTATATCATAATGTGATATACGCTATATAAGAACAGAATATTATTAGGTCATGGAGGAGAAAACATTAGGAAAATATGTGGGAGGGCCTGTACATGAATCATCAGATCAATAGAATAGAAATCATTAAAACAAATCTTGCTACTTCAACCTCGATAAATCTCTCTAGAGTCCAAAGAATGAGATGAACTTGAGTCAGCTTGTGTTTGACTTTTTACATATTCTGTCCATTGTTTATATTCCCAATTCAAACTCTCATATGACCCAGTATATGCATGGTGTACATGGTAAGAAGTGCTTTGGCTCATAGTCTGTCTCCTCTTCTCATCCAGACATAATGCTTCTTATTCTTCAATGCACAATCACCGTTTCTATTACCAGTGATGGGCAGACATATATGACAAGAGGTTCGGTCCAGTTAGGTATACAACCAGCTAATAAGATATGTTTTGGCACCCCAAACAAGAGATAAAATCTACCCTACTGATAATAATAATTTGTTTGAAGTTCTCTCTTGAGAAAGCACTGCTATTCCGTAAGTGTTGAACCAAGGTCGAAGGAGAGAAGGGTTTCAACCCGATCGAGGGTGTTCATCACTTCCTATGGTCCCATGTATAGGTAAAGGTGATGGTATACAGGAAGAGGTGCTAATGAGAAAGAAGACCAGGCAAGCGAGATGATTGAATAAGCAGCCTGAACTTGGAGCTACCTGCAACTTATTTGGAGGAGTAGCCAAGTGGAAAATACGAAGCAGCTTCCCAAATTGTTGGGCTCACGCGTCAGTGGAGTGCACTTTCTTCTTGGGTGATGAGCCGTGAAGAATAGTTTGATATATCTCTCTCTCTCTCCTACCCCAACCAAGCTAGGATGAGAGTGCTGGATGGGATTGCTCGACAGAGTGAAAGGAGGAGGAGGAGGGAGAGAGATGGATGCGAGGAAGATGTGAAAAAAGAATGAGGAAGGAAAGGAAAAACAGAAAATGGAGGATGGAGAATGCATGATAAGTAGAACAGAGAGGAAGAGGAGAAAGAACAGAGAAGATAAAGCATGAAAATAGTAAAATTAAAAGAAAAATGTGAAGAACAGAGAAGTCAAATGAAGATGGATGAGTTGAAAAGATATAAAGAAAGTATCTGATGATGTTTAGAAAAGTACAGAAAGAATAGATGAATGTGTAGAGACAGAAAAGATATTTTGGGAGCTTGGTTGAAGAATATAAAACAGACGAGGAGAACCAGATATTGAGAAAGATACAAAAGTTTATAAAGATATAAAAGAAGGAAGAAGCACCCATGTTTAAAAAACAGTGACAGAATAATGCAATGGACCATAATTAGTGGCATGACATGAACCTTTTTGTTTTTGTTTAAGAATATGCTTTTGAAGATTTAAGTGAGAAAGAAAATTATGTGAAGAATAAGAATAAAGGCTCATTATCTTTGCAGTGTAGTGATAATACAGGAAATGTATAGGTTTATCATGAAACATGATGAAGATAATAGGCATATTTCACTTCATTCATGCAAGGTACTGCTTTAGACACTAAAATCCTGTTGTTCACACTGGAAGTTGTAAATTTCCTTTAATATAAACACCATTCAACATGACAATAAATAGCAGATAGGGTCCAAAACAGTAGCAGCACACAATATGGGTCCCTATTAAGCATACTGTTCTGTGTGCTATCATGATATACCAAAATAGGAAGTGCATTACATTATGTTGTTTCATTTTAGCATGAAAGGTTTGTTTTCATAGACATTTTAGCCAGTGGTGTGTGAACAGGGTTTATGAAGTGCAATGAGGATGCAGGCAGAGTGTAGAGGTATGGAGAAGAATAAGATCATGTGCAAGACACCATCATGAAGAGAAGCCTGCCTGCCTGTATGGCTTTATATCAATCTTAACACCAGGTATACCCAAGGGTAACATTAGGCTGAAAAACAACACACTCCATGTCTCTCTAGCACATACCAGCATTCAACCTAGCTAGAGAGAGCTAGCTAGTCCAACGGGTCATGCACCAATTCAACTTGAAGGAGATGAATTATCAAACTTGTAACGGTAGTCATGCGTGGCATGCCTGTCTACATTACATGGCAGGGCAGTAGAGCTCCCTCTAGGGACCAAGCCCGGGACCTTCCGCATCGCATCCTCAAGTAGTGAGCAAACTTGGTGAGGAGTTAGAAGCCTCGTAGGTCACAATACAAGACTTATTTTATGTCCCTTTATGGTTTGACTTTATGTTTATTACATGAGAGACAAAAACAGCGAGCTTCTGAAGGTGTGTTTAGCATTCTACTGTGGAGCCTACAGGGAGACTCACCTGTGCAGAGAGTACTCTCAGAGGAACCAACGGGTCATCAAGTTAACTTTCACATCCCTGACACACGAGGGGGTTGGGGAAGAGTCTTAGAGTCATGGAGGTGTCAAGAGGAACCTGGAAACACATTCTGTTTCATGAACTGGGACAGGGTTGATCATCTCAGCAATGACGTGACAAAGATTTATCAGACTAGGACATTATCAGAAAATTTTCCTTATTTTGCTTTGCTTGTCTGTATAGTATAATTTAGAGTATGAAGACAGTGCAATGAATTTATAGTTTCCAACACATGCACAACACACAACCACTGATGTTAACAAGCCCTCTATGGTTATGAGGGATTATCTACAGTAGATATGAACATGGCATACATCACATACAGTTCTTTTCATAAAACTTTCAGGAAATTATTTCTGAAATTTAAGGACAACTAACCCTGGATTATATCACTCCATGTACAACAACCTTTAGATAGCTGCTCTATATAGGACAACCAAACACCCTGACCCCCCCCCCCCCCCCCCCCCCCCCCCCCCCCCCTCCCCTCCCACCCAAAACCAAAAGCTATCATATCATTTACATCGTAACGCAATGCAAGTGCAGTACCGGTAATCCTTTTTAAACAATTTATTTTTTATGTAACAAGCATTTTAGGTAGTACAGGGTTTGTCTCTCACTGAAGCAATTCAAGGAAAATAACAATTATAAATATAGCTACGTATTTAAACACATAGGAGCAAAGATTATGATAAAAAAATCATGTATCAAAGATCAATTTTCCAGGTATGTAAAGAACTTGATGCATGTATGTAATATTCAACATTAAGCTATAATGGTCCTAAAAGAGATTAATTGTTTATAGTTATAGATTGTTGTAAAAATACCCTTGCATACTTTATAATGTTATGATCAGTCTATATTGAATAAAACTGGGTGTTGATTTGTCAATAACATTTATTTGAATTCTATTTGTATTGCATTTAAATGACTGTAAAGTGATATATACTAGCACAATAATAACTAACAGAATAACTTCAACGGAAACCCTAACAAGTGTCATCATTCATACAACCTTGTTTCCAATAACCTTTTGGAGAAAATCGTCAACATGTTTTCCCAAATTTGAATAGTGATTGAAAGTTTGTAGGTCATAAGTTCAACCTCAACTTTCATGATTGCCACGGACATCAGCTGATAATAAACTGACCAATCTTTTCTATAAATATCAAATTCAAATCCAAATTAATCTTGACGTTGCATAAACATTCAAACTAGAGGTGTCCAATAATTTTAACTGCTGCATCACATCGCCACAATTCCTCTAAATATGAAAGATTCAGGCCTGTACATTTAAAAAAATCTTGACAATAAATCGCCGGTTGATTTCTATGGGAAACTACTTGACGTTACAAAAGGCATTTTTTTTCCAGCTAAATTAGTCTGGAGTAGTAATCTGACTTGATCCTCTGCCCTTTTCACCCTCTGGTAATGTAAGCAGGTTGATGGACTGTCTGGCTGGCTCGCTACACTTCTCAAATGGTCTCACATTTGGAGAGAAAAAAAATGTCCACAAAATCCCTGTTCAAACAAGCTGCATTAAACCATCTCCACAAGACTGTCACAGCAAAATTAAACCATCAATATGTAAATGAATGGCAAGTTGGGGTGAAATAAATTGGAACTATGCAAACTTTGTGATCTTTGTATATATACAGATTTTTGATGTGCACTACTCTACATTTTATTTTATTTCAACATGGCTTCGTTTGTTTGTTTTGTTTATAAAGTGTTTCCTGTTTCAAGTTGAACACAGCTGTACTCATATAAATGTTTTTAAAATACTGAAGCTCTCTCGATCAAATATCTAAAGTTTGTTAATGTGACTTGATGTGTACTTGCTCTCTCTCTCTCTCTCTCTCTCTCTCTCTCAAAGTTTGTTAAAGGGATCGTTTAACAATGTTAAATCTGAGATACACGGTCCTACATGTTATCAGTGTCTGTGATATGGTGTAACGTTGAAGCCCTAAAAAAATCGCGCTTCAAAATGATCAAGAAGTGCCTCAAAAAAGTAAAAATCTTTGAGTGACCGGTTATACCATACTCGTTTTCCCCAATAGACTGTAGTGTTATGAAAACCGTCAGGCGAACGGTTTTCAAAATTTGTAATTCCAATCATAAATATCTTGATAATCGGA